CGGATAAATTCTGAAATATATACGGATATATTGTCTGCTCAGATTAAGCTAAATCCAACAAAGTTGATTGGACGGTGCTTCACTTTACAGATGTACAATGACCCAAAACATAAAGCGAACACAACCCAAGATTTTTTTTAAAGCAAAGAAGTTAAATATTCTGCAATTTACTTGTCAATCACCAGATCACCACGTCATAAAACAACCTCTATGTCTCACCAGTCATTGAATGAGCTCAGTAAAGTTCTCTGTATTACCAGTTGCCTGCACTTCTGGCTTCCCGAGGAGTTTGCCATTGTACCGGTGGGCTGGGTTAGTTACGTCCTCAATATGACGTAATAACGTAGTTACGGACGGCGTGATGAGGTGTTACGCCTTTATTGACTTCCTCAGACTACCAGTACCAGCGCTTTGGGAAACCAGGAGTGCCGGAAATTGGTAAGTCCAAGGACTTTACTAAGCTTATTCATGGGACTAGTGAGACATGACATGCCTACTTATATTTTATGTTTGAGCTGTCTCAGCTGTCCACAGTTTTCTACAGCAAAAGTTGGATACTGGATATAAAGAAAAGTGCATATAGCCTGAGCCATCCCTTACATGATCAATGTTTCTGAGTGCTATATATATCTTGTTCTTCTTATCAATGGTGTATTTGCAATATTACACTATATGTTTTTATGTTTTTCCTTTTCATATTGAACAACGTATTGTGGTTTAGTATTAGTACTTTTTATGCAGTGTAGAAATTGTCACAATAGGCTCTTTAAATAATTTTGTACACATTTATGAATGGAAATTGTGGGAAGTATTAATACTTTTTATGAAGTGTGGAAATTGTGACAATGAGCACTTTAAATAACTTTGTTCACATTTATGAATGAAAATTCCACTTTGGATTTGCAGTACATTTCCACAATTTTTACACAATCTGTCTGTGCAATAAAAGCTCAGTTGACTCCCAAACTGTGTGTCGTCCAGTTCTTGGGAAAGAGGGATTGTATTTCACGCTACTTTTATTTTGCATGCTGACTACGACTACTAGCGGAGACAGGGGTGGACTGACTGGTTGGGCACTTCAGACATGGCCATCAGGGGGCCCGGCGGCAGGTCTGGCATCTGGGGACTGCGGCATCTGGGGACTGCAGAAGTAGGTGGCTGGTCCGGTGGCACACTCCAAAGGGGCCGGCCGCGTTCCACGCTGGAGCCGCCGGCCGGGGTGGCAGCCTCGCCGGTCCGGCGGTACTCCTGTTCTGTCACTAATGCTGAGGACGGAAGGAGGGAGGAGCATTTCTCTGTCTCATGCTCCCTTGCGGTTCCCACAATTCCCAGCACAGGATGCACAGTATGCACAGTATGCACACATGCTCCTCCCTCCTTCCGTCCTCAGCATTAGTAACAGGAGTGCCGCCGGACCGACGAGGCTGCCACCCGGCCCGGCGGCTCCAGCATGGAACGCGGTCGGCCCCCTCTGTCTTCTCTTGGTAAATGGGAGGGAGGAAAATAAAACAGAGAGGGGGAATAAATAGAGGCAGGGGAAGAGGGAAGAAACAGACAGTGGGAGAATAGAGAGCGACACAGGGGGAGGGTAAGGAAAGAGACAGAGGGGGAGAGAGAGTGACACAGGGAAAGGAGTGAGAAAGAGACAGAGGGGGAAGAGTGAGACACAAGGGGAGAAAGAGAGGGAATAGAGGGGGAGAAAGAGACAGAGGGTAAGAGAGATGTGGGGTAGAGACAGACACAGGGAAAGGGGGAAGAAAGAGACAGTGGAAGAGAGACACAGGGAGAAAGGATAGAGACACACAAGGGGAGCAGGAGAAAGAGGCAGAGGGGGAAGAGAGACTGGGAAGGAGAGGGGAGAAATGGACACAGAGGAGCAGTGAGGGGGAGAAAGAAACATACTGTTGGGCTTCTTCATGTGTGCATGTTGAAAATCTACATCGCAACAATAAAAACCTTGTAATGATTCCTTGAAAAAATTTGAGTTTTATTATTTTTATTTTGTGTTAATAAACTGGAAGCTATTTTATTTCTTTGATTATCAGCTTTCGTATATACCGAACCGAACCGAAGTGCCGAAGTCCCGAATTGCCCCAAAATTTTTTTTACCAGAATTTCCGAACCGAATTTTTGGATCATGCACATCCCTAATATTTACGACTCTAACACTGCAACTCAGATCATACTCAGCCTAATATATTTGTTTTATTATATAACCTCATAGTTGGGTTAATTTAATTGCAAACACTTAGCAGAAACTCTCAATGACACCTGAACTGCTGTCTAAGTTACATCTTAAGTTCATTTCTAACTCCATTCATTAGAACTGCAGTTTAACCTTTCCTGTATCTTTTAAAGCCACAGAGTGACATGATACTCTGAAGCATACGGCACATTTTATCAGTTGCGTCACTTTGGTATTTATCTGCACGATTGATCTACTGAGTTTTGTGGCTGAGTGTTGTGGACCTATATGGTTTGCTGGAGCATGCTGCACAGTACCAAGAGGCTTTGCTATATGGAGCTTTGCCAGGCAGGCAGTTAAACTGCAGGTTCCTGAATGGGAGAAGGGGGTGTTGCTAAGTCCCTTGTATTGTGTGGTATTAATACTGATGTCTATCAATTTGATGTATTCCTTTCTATTATGTTATTGGTTTGTTGATTCTTAGCCATATATTTTTTCTTTTAATGCCGACTCCAGCTTGGAAATGTATTGTTCTCAGCTACCTACTACTTGAGCCTCAATCTTGCTGTACAGCAAACATCGATATATTTATATTTACTTTATTATCATTGGTAGTAATAGTATATCGTTTTATGTTAAATGGTTCCTGTTTTGTATACTGCTGCCTGACTACTATAGTGAGCGCCTACCACCCTCTCTCTTTTCTCTATCATCACATATTCCCTAGATAGGCAGCCCTATAGATTATTTAAAGATGTCTCTATTTGAATATAGGGACAATTATACTATTAACATCAATGATGTCTTTAATGAATTAGATGAAATGAACACAAATGAACCACTAATTGTCTTTGACAACTTACCAGAACTGCTAAAAGAATTAGAGTTTTCTCTTACAAAAGAAATGAAACTAAGGTGGGAGATCGCAACCCTGACTAAATATATAGAAGAAAAAATAACCCCTAGAGGGCTCAGGTTGTTTAAGATGCCCACCTCAGATACTGAAAACAAAATATTCATGGAAGAATGGTATAACCATTTAGAGTATTGTACATTTGGATTAATGAAAAGTCTCATTAAAGTTAAAAATGAAAAGCTATCTGTAATAGATAAAAAAATAAATATATTACGAGAACAACTAATTCCCTTTGGTGACACTGAGGAGTACTATAATGTATCACAAAAAATTAAAAAAACGGTTGAAAAAATTGAAACTGATACAAAAAAGATAAAGATTCAAAAATACAATCGAGACAAATATGACTATGCACACAACCAAGTTCGTACGTACAATATTAAAAAACCCAATACTCACAACCATTGGAGAAATGGAATAACACATCACAATGCAAACACACAAGGAAGTCACCAAGTTAGACCTAGAAGGTTACAAAGTAAAGAATTCTATCAACAAAATAAATATTTTCACAATAATCGACAGAGATCACCAGATAAACTCCCTAGGCACAATATAAGAAATGATAGATATAACACAAGAAATGATAGATTTAACACTAGATATTATCGTGACACCTATCCCCAACACAAACCTACACATTATTCAGAAAAAATTGAAGAACACATTAAACAGAAAAAGTCTACACATCATAGTGCACAAGAATCACCCCTTGTTGTGAGACCTAAAACACATAAATACACATTCATACCAGACTCTCCCAAACAGAGAAATAGAAAGTACTCCTGGGAAAATCCAAAGAAAACCTATAAAAGACGAGACGATAATAAACCTTCATCACCACAAGATTTAACCAAAAATAACAAATATCATGTTCTATCCTTCTGTGACCAATTCGACGAAACATCTTTTTTAGAGATCCCCTCCAACAGAGAAAGACAAACTCACCACCTCAATATTACACCTATAAAAAGTCGCAAGAGAGGTTTAGAGGGAGGAGATCAGGTAGAAGACAACAAAAAAGGAAGGTTAGAAAGCTTTTAGAACATAAAGCAGATGAAACATCTACTGGTATTTTCAATCTATCTAATAAAATTCTAAACACCACAGAGACAAATATTTTAAAACGAGGTCTCAAATTTGCCCCTACAAAATTATACAATTCTTTTTTAGCCTATATAGACATAAATAAATTCGTTAGAAACGCCACTTTAAAACGTTTTTTTATTAACAAAAATAATTCTAACCAAAACACTAATACTGAAAACACAAATACTAAAGAATATAAAAGCAGTGAATTGAAAAATAAATCCACTTTTTATCCTGCATATCTCAAATCTAGTGCATTAGATATATTTGAAAAGAAAGTTTGCAAGGATTTAAAAATCCTAGACACTAAAAAGATAAGAGATAGACCAAATATGAACAAAAAAGAAATGAATATACTGAAAAATTTATACAACGACACCTCAATAGTAATAAAACCAGCCGATAAAGGCGGAGGCCTCGTTATCCAATCTAAAGAAAAATATGAAGCAGAAGCTTATAGACAGCTCAATGATCACAACACTTATATGAAATTAAATAAAGACCCAATAGTAGACATAAAATCCGAATTCTACAATTTTTTAGAGAAGGGCAAAGATATTGGTATTTTAAGCGAAAAGGAGTATAATTATATAAAAATACAATCCCCAAAGGTACCAGTGATATACTTTCTTCCAAAAATCCATAAAAATCTAAATGACCCGCCGGGACGCCCTATTGTTTCAGGGATAGGATCCCTTCTCTCAAACCTATCCGAATATATCGACATAATGTTACAGCCGTATGTCAGACAAACAAAATCATATTTGAAAGATACAATAGATCTTTTAAAAAAATTGGAAAATATTATTTGGAAAAATGACTATATACTCATCACATGTGACGTACAATCATTATATACAATTATTCAGCATGACAAAGGATGCAAAGCAATTAGATCCATTTTGGAACGAGATAATTCTATGCTTCAGGAGCAAACAGATTTTATTATCAAAGGTATAGACTTAATCTTGAAGCATAATTATTTCTGGTTTAAAGATGGTTTCTACCTGCAGAAAACTGGAACAGCTATGGGTACTAGGTTTGCACCCAGTTATGCAAACCTCTATATGGCAGAATGGGAAGATCGGTCCGTTTGGAGGGGGCATGACTGGGTGGAAAGCCTGGTATCCTACTCCCGGTATATTGATGATCTGCTGTTCATTTGGAAGGGGTCTGTCAGTTCAGCTAAGGATTTTATTTCTTTTTTAAATTGCAATCAAGAAGGTATAGTTTTAACGGCAGATTTTAGTAGTACTATGGTGACTTATTTGGATTTAAATATATACATTGAGAATAACAAAATACAAACCAAAACACATTTTAAAGATGTGAATGTAAATAATTATATAAGTACTGACAGTTGCCATAATAAAGTTTGGCTTGAGAGTATACCTAAAAGCCAAATGATGCGTTTAAAAAGAAACTGCTCAGATAAATCTGTGTTTTTAAAACAAGCAGATTTTTTAAAAAAAAGCTTTATACAAAAAGGTTATAATGCTAAACACATTGACTCAACCATTAACCAAACAGCCTTAAAAAACCGAAACTACCTCTTACACAAGGCCAAAACCTCAGCAACTCAGAACAATCCTGATTTTACTTTACCAATTGTCCTTGACTATAATAATAAAAATAGACAATTGAAAAAAAATTTAACTAAACACTGGCACTTACTGAAGGAAGATGAAATTTTAGGTAAACTAATTCCGGATAAACCTAAAGTCATATTTAGAGGGGCACCTAATCTCAAAATGCATTTAACAAAAAACTTTACAAAAAATAGTCCTAATAAAATCAATAACTTTATGGATAAAAAAGTTTTTTTCAAATGTAATAGCTGTGTGGCATGTAAGAAAACAAAAACCACAGAAAGAACTATTACTAATTTTAAATCAAATAATACGAATAAAGTTTATAATATAAAAGAGGTCATTTCATGCAATAGCAAAAACGTAATCTATTTATTGGAGTGTCCATGTGGCCTCCAATATGTAGGTAGAACGATCAGGCCATTAAAAATTAGAATTGCAGAACACTGCAGGAACATTGAAAAAGGTCTGCACAATCACTCAATACCATCGCACTTTTGCATGCATAATAACGACCCTAAACAGCTCACATTTATTGGGATAAAAATAGTTAAGAATCACTGGAGAGGAGGAGATGCTATAAAAAAGATCGGCCAAACTGAAATGCAATGGGTATACCAGTTAGATACCCTACACCCTAAGGGGTTAAATGCTGAATTCGATCTATACAATTTTTTATAGTTGTTGGTTTTTTTTTGTTTTTTGTTTTTTTTCTCGTTTGTAGCATCTTTTTTATAACTGATCCCAATATATCTGTTCAACATGTTCCTCTATGTTTTTCATGTTTTTTATATTCTTTATGTATTTTATATCTATGCCCAATGTCTGTACTTGTTGTATGTATAGATTTTAACTAATAGATATGTTTTTATGTGGACACCATTTTTTTCCAACATTGCATTTTTATTCTATATTGTTATTTACTATTTACTTTTGTACTATATACCTATAATAGTACTGCCTATTCTGTTTAACTCTATGGATCTCTTATTAGATGATCCAGATAATATTGGTATATATTTATAAAGCTATAGCTTTTTTTTTTTTATACTTGCTATATGTAATTAATATCTTAATATTGGTTTTACTTTAAGGCTGCCCATATCTAAGATGGCCGCCAAGCGATTTATACAGCATTATATGCCCACACCTCATATTATGAGGCTTCAAAACTAGCAGCGCTCGGAACGTCACACACACCATTCTTTGGTGATATGTGCATTCCAATGCGCCATATTATAACATTGCCATAATATTCTTTTTTCTTTCTGCAAATATTTGCTCGATCGATCCGAGCGACACGTCATTTCCGGGATGACGCGAGTGTCGCGTCACTTCCGGTATGACGCGTGCGTGTCAACCGGAGCCCGGAACCAGGAAGTAACACACCAGGAAACCATCACCCCATTACTCAGGATATAAAAATGGACTTTTTGGACTCTTTACCACACTTCTGAAGAAGCCTGTTTAGGTGAAACGCGTTAAGTGGACATTTTTATTATATTGTTTTAATTTTATATTAAAGTATACTTTTTTAAGTTACTTTTTATATTCATTATTGCATTTCCTGGATCCTGCATATCCTTGGTGGGGATTATACCACCTGAGCTGTTTTATACTAGAGCAAGTCATATGCTCTAGAAAGTGTAAGTACAATACCTTTTATTATTGAATACACTGTTTGTACTTACTTCACCATATTGCTGCTATCTCTCTTTATATCTTTGCACATTGCACCTTGAGAAACATCCGTGGCAACTACTACGAATCCTAAGACGGGGATTGTACCGTCCAGGCGCTTTACAGTAGAGCTCTGTTATAGCTCATTTAAATGTGAGTGGACTGTACATAGCAACTATTGTGTAGACCAAATAATTTTACCTACTGTATTGCACTATTATTCTTTATTTTATTGTCTTTGAGGTTACAATTGATTGGAGTACCCAAGAATATATGTATGTATTTTTTTGCATAAAATACTACTAGGCGCGGTATACGCTTTCTCCTTTTTCTTTTCTATGTCACCTAATCAGTACTTTGTAGTACTACAATGGGCTGGTTTGCTTTTAGTAGGACATACAATCATCATTTTGTCAGAAGTAAGGGGTTATGGGGAGCCTGTTCATAATAAACATCAAAACTCCCCTCATCCACATTAACGTTTACACTTACAGTTTCCTCACTGTTCAATGTATTATGTTCATGTGTTAATTGCTGTAAGTAGCAGTCTCAGTTGCTTAGGGATATGAAGTATGTATGCCTCACTACTTAATCAGTACATAATGTTTTGTTTGGGCATGTCCACAATTTTATATGATATTAAATGTTAGAGTCAGTCACTCCACCCATCTTTACTGTTATGTCTTATACTATGCCTCACTTTGACAATGCACAGTTGCTCCAAACGTATGTCAAAATAAAACACACAATCCCCAAAGAAAAGAAAAAGTGCTACCTGATAATAAAAAAAAATGCAAAATCCCAAATAAGAAATAAATAGAAGATACAAATAGGAAAGCAAACTAATAAAAACCAAAGTTCTATCTGAAAAGAGTAGCCCAATAGGTGTACTAACTAAATATTGCCACAAGGTGGAGCCAAACCAAGATGCTTTATTCATACAGGCCAATGCTCAAACAAGTGACCTGTATCAAATGCTACAACTGTAGCCACATAAAGTCTAAATCCACTGTAACAGAATGATTACTATTAACTAGTAGGATATTGAGTATAATGTATAATGAAATGCACAGTGCAATGTAAGCACTGAAACGTGCATCAGGATTGTTTTTTACTCATTTTCTTGATGTACTTCAGCACAGTTTAGCACTTTGATTTGGGTGTTACTTGAAGATGATTATGGGGATTAGTTAGGTGCCTTCTTTAGTAGGAATAGGTAGAGGATGTGTAGGCTGTCTTTCTGCCTTAGATAGAAACATAGAAGGTGACAGCAGATAAGAACCATTTGACCCATCTAGTCTGCCCGATATTTCAAAATACTTTTAATTAGACCCTGGCCTTTTCTTAAGTCTGGGATAGCCTTATGCCTGCTTAAACTCCCTCAATGTGTTAACCTCTACCACTTCAGCTGGAAGGCTATTCCGTGCATCCACTACCCTCTCAGTAAAGTTATACTTCCTGATATTATTTTTAAACATTTGCCCCTCTAATTTCAGACTATGTCCTCTTGTTGTGGTAGTTTTTCTTCTTTTAACCCCTTAAGGACCAAACTTCTGGAATAAAAGGAAATCATGACATGTCACACGTCATGTGTCCTTAGTGGGTTAAATATAGTCTCCTCCTTTACTGTGTTGATTCCCTTTATGTATTTAAATGTTTCTATCATATGCCCCCTGTCTCGTCTTTCCTCCAAGCAATACATGTTAAGTTCCTTTAACCTTTCCTGGTAAGTTTTATCCTGCAATCCATGAACCAGCTTAGTAGCCCTTCTCTGAACTCTTTCCAAACTATTAATATCCTTCTGGAGATAGTCTCCAGTACTGTTTACAATACTCCAAGTGAGGTCTCACCAGTGATCTGTACAATGGAATGAGCACTTCCCTCTTTCTACTGCTAATACCTCTCCCTATGTAACCAATCATTCTGCTAGCATTTCCTGCTGCTCTATTACATTGTCTGCCTACTTTTAAGTCATCAGAAATAATCACATCTAAATCCTTTTCCTCAGATGTTGAGGTTAGGACTCTATCAAATATTCTGTACTCTGCCCTTGGGTTTTTACGTCCAAGATGCATTATCTTGCACTTATCCACATTAAACATTTTTCTAGTTTACCTAAATCATTTGCCATTTGGCTTATCCCTCCTGGAACATCAACCCTGTTACATAGTATCATCAGCAAAAAGACATACCTTACCATCAAGACCTTCTGCAATATCACTAATAAAAATATTAAAGAGAATGGGTCCAAGTACAGATCCCTGAGGTACCGATAACTGACTGTATTGCAGCCCTCTGTATTTGGCAAGGTGATTCCTAAGAGATTGAAATGTGGTGCAGCAAATCCCTAATTTTTTTTTTGTTCTTTCGGATAGGCCAGCAGCAATTATATGTTTAGCGGGTAGGCTGCATTTTAGAAATCCAATCGAACTGTTATTTTTCCTTATCCTTACAATTAATGTTTTGTGTAGCTTTGTTGACACTGTCCTTTTGTCATTTCCGATTTCCAATCCTTGAGTGACTCAATCCATGACTCCATCCATCTGACTTCAGGAGTTGCAACTTTCTCTGACACATGTTCATGCAGTCATCAGATTAAGCTTTCCATGTGCTACTTTTATTAGTTTAGACATTCATCCCCTTTAGGTAACTGGTCATTCAATTTCCCGTTTACTTCCTTAATAATAAATACTTATAATCCGTGTTATATAGGCTATTCTTATATCACTATTTACCTATTAGATTGAGTCATTCCTCCTTGGCAACCTTTCAATTCTGTTGACAGTAGCTGTATATTGTTATTTCAATAAAGCATACAGAGCCACTGGATACTTTGTATATATTTTCACAGTTAGTGTTCATTTGTATCTATTTCCCCAATGTTCATCACCAGATTGCTTTACCCTTTATAGGGGTCACCTCTTTTTAGTTGTACTAATAGGATTCAGTACCAGAATAGGGCTGGTACTACCTTCACTGACCAACACTTTAGTGGCTAATTCCCTAAGGAGTTATTTTCTATAAGTGGGTTTCAATACTTATTGGTTAAAACGGATCAATTTAGTATGTGGATCAAGACTTTTGGCACTGTGAGGGACAATTCTGCCATTAGTGCCAGAATTCTGTGTAAGGTAACCATCCCACACTTTGGTTGCCCCCAAGTATCCCTTAAACCTCTGCAATTATGCAGAACATCAGTAGCATGCCTGCTATAGGTTGAACATTTCTCATTCACCACCATTCTCAGTCATCAGGATAGTCAACCATAAAATAGGCATTGAGATAGGGAATAGGTGATACTTGTAATAATTAGCCACATTACCTCCCTGCAGTCTTAGCTGAGATCAGAATGACTCCTAATAAAATATTATCTCAACATTTGAAGTTTTAATGGGAAGACCTTTCCCTACTCCATCAGCGAAATGTAAGCTTGACCCTATGATAGAGTGGGATACACAGTTTATTGACTTCCTAAATAGTATGATTCGTAATAGTACTAACCCATTGACTACTGTTACTAGTAAAAGGTTGAGTATTCCTAAGAGATCTAACTTACACCTTGCCTTCCCGGTCACATTAAGTGCTATAGCTTTTGTAAATCATAGCAATGGCACAGAAAAGCTTAAAGCTACAAATGTCTCTGTAATGATTTATTACAAGGGCTAAATCCCTGCTGGTGATATATCCTCTTTATTATCAGTCCAAAAGACCCCTTACCAAATTGTACCTGCTTGTTCTTCATATGAGACCCAAGGACATTGGGGGCAGGGAGGGGGTTGCCACATTGTGGGGTCCTGGTTCACCGGCCAGGAACATAGGGGTTGTCTTAGCAGAGCAAGGGGTACAATGCTCTTCCCTGCCTCTGACTTCTTGCCCCTCAGGTTGAGAGGGTTCTGTTGCAGACCACAGTCTGATCCCTGAACTCCCCTTAGGCGTGTCCAAGTGGGGTTTAACGACATGTTCTTACCAGATCAGGATCGACTGGCGAGTGGAGGGAGAGAGAGTGGTGCGCTTAAACTATTTAAGCTTATCTCTAACCAGTATAACCTAGCGCCTGAAACATGGTTGGATGAAATTGATGTATTACAGTGTTACATTATACTAGACATTCTTAAACTGATCGCTATGGACCTGCGCGTCCTTGCACGTTGGTTATATTGGTCCTACGCGACCTATGAACACTTGGTGATTTGGATCTGTGTGTCCACGACTGTTTCATCGGATGCTTGCCTTTACGATAAATAAAAATCTTATTCATAAATTTATTTTTAAATTAATAATAATAAAAAAAAATACATATATATATATATACACACACACGTGTAATTTTTTTTCTAACTATTTTGATATTAATACATCTTGATATTAAAATACACTTTATATATATATATATATATATATACACACACACACACACACATTTAAATTCTACGTATATATTTATGTAATATTTTTACATAATTAACACATTCTTATTAATTATGGTTTGAGGGACCTGCCTGACAATCCAGGCAGAAAGACCACAGAATTTGGTTCGCAAGCCCTAAGTTTAACCCTGAAACTTTCAAAGACATAAAACCTGTACATGAGGTGTACTGTTATACTCAGGAGCCTTCGCTGAACACAAATATTAGTATTCCAAAACAGTGAAACATATCACAACATTTAGATCGTCAGTGAAAGTACCATTTTGTGAATTTATTTACACACAAATGGCACTTTCACAGACAATATCATTGTTGTGATATGTACCCCCCCACGTACAGGGTTTATGGTTTCCAAAAGTTACAGAGTCAAATAAAAGGCTTGCATTTCAGTTTATCAATCAAATATTGACTAATAATATAGCAAGTAAAGAATGTGTTAATAGGATTATTATTGGCATTTATATAGCGCCAACAAATAAACGTTCGCCAGTGTTTGTGACTAAGTCGCTACTAAAAAAAGACTGGACATACCCCATTTGTAATACCTCTGGTTGTCTACGTTTGCAAATGGTATGCTATGATGGGAGTAATTCTCATTTCTGGGCGACCATTTGATTTCAAAGGCAACATAACCAGTCTGGCAAATTTTAATGTGATAAACTATTGCTTAATATGCCACGCAGAACTAAAAAAAAAAATTCTCAAATATTTTTATATTTTATCGCTAATTAATTGGGTGTCATATATAAATATTTGATATGAAATGAAAGCCCTGTTTCTGCTGAACAAAATTATATATAAGTGTGGGTGCATTTAATATGAATTCTAGTTGAACATACATATAGCGCAAATACAAAGTTTTGTCCTTAAGAGGTTAATGTAGTTGCTCTGGTGTTTACTGCCAGTCCCTGCAGAGAAAATGCAGATTTAACATTACTGCCTAGGAACACCTCTTGTGGCAGTCACTCAGAAAACCAGTTCCTTTTTATGTTATGGTAGCTTTTTCTTTACATACAATAAACTGATGTCGAATGGTCCTAATCTCATAGATTCACATGATCCAGTTAGATAACTTTTCAGAATATAGCTTAATGTTTCAAGCACACAAAATGACAACACAAAACATTGGAAAATTTGTGTTCAGACATAGTCCACTTAGTATATTTTTATTTTAATAGAAGAAAAATAAAAAAGGGCACATGCTTTTCCCTTTGTAACATTTACAAAATAAAAATAAAAAATACATGAATGTAAATAAAACCATCATCCATGAAAGCCAGGTCAACATAAATGCTTGTGCTACTAGCTCTGTGATGGGTGTGTTTCAAAAGTCAGCATTAGTTTTAGAGAAAGGACATTTGCTTTCTTCACAGAGAAGTCGGTGGATGTTTTTATGAATCAAAAGGCATAATTTAATGGGAGTTTTAGATCCAAGAACTTTGGTGTACCATATGTTGCATAGCATATTAAATGTGTTCAACACTATAGAATGAAGTGCAACATATAAAAAAATGCTACAAGCTATGTAACTGAAATCTCTGAGCAATAGCTGCCTTTGTAAACATTATACATACATACACAATGAGAGATAATCTTGGCACTCACCCCTTAATTCTTAATAATGTGGTACTTGCTTCGGTGTCCATATATAAACCTAAAACAAGGAGGTGCACTCATCAGTCTTTTTCAATGTGCTTTGAATAAAGCACATTGATAATGACCGCTGAATGCACCTCCTTGCTTTAAAGTATATATATTCAACTAGTATACACACACACACACACCTCTTCTCTTCTCTTATTCAAGGTGTGTTAAATAAGAGAGCTACTCCATATTTAGTGTTACATCAAATGGCAATTTGCAGAAATATTGACACGATTATCACACCACAGAGCAAGTAGCAAAACAACTGTAACATTAGTAGCATTGGCAATATGTATGGAGAAGCATGTTGAATACATAATATTTGAGCGTTTAACAAAAATAAAGGACAATATTACAACCTTTTACATGCTCACTGCATATGAAGGTGAGAGGGAATGAAAAAAAAAAAGGGGGGGGTGGGGGGAGGGAAGCCATGCATCACTTATTTGCAATAACACTTTTATTTAAAACTAGGTAACAAACAGATTATGGCAAATCTGTAAGGGATTTAAAAAACAAAAAAACACATACCCTAATAAAGATGACACCCCCCCCCCATTAAAATAAAAATAACTAAACATATACATGTAAATCAGGAGGTGTAAAAGTATATACAGCGATAAGTAAATACAAAGGAAGATTGTTTTGGTTATCAAATATAAAACTTAGGTCTTTTCAAGTATGCCTTTGTTAATTCTGTTCCAAAGAAAAACAGAACAAAAATATCCCCACAAATAGGTCTTTAAAATGAACAGAAACTAACATGGGCTAACCTTGATATAAATGTAATAACAGGGTACAGAGCTGGTCTAGGCATGTAACAGACAAATACATAGCTTCCCAGCATGAAATGTGCCTGTCAAATGAAAATAATTAAATTGAATACTACAAAAATATATCTGGGTATATTTATCCTCAATTTAAATGACAACTTGCATAGGACAAAAAATTTGTTTTAAATTAGAAATATCACAAGTAAAGCAAAATAAGTTTGTTTTTTAAACAAAAGTGTCAATGCTCTTTGAACACACCATACAATTGGAATTGCTTTCACAAAATAAACAACCAACCAAAATGCCCCCCCCCCTTTTCTTTTTTTTCAATAAAGTCACTGGCTTTTTCAGTCTTCATTTACAAAAGAAATCAAACCGGGTTTATTTACAATTTCGTCCTAAAAAAATTATATTTATATACTGGCAGTTTGAACTAGAACATCGTGAAATGTTATCAACCTTCCGGTTAGCAAAATCCCCCCCACCACCACTTTTAAATATGTTTTTATTTTCTTTCACATATTTATGACACTCTGTTGTGATATACACGTCAAATTGAACATTTGTGCCCAAGCTAATCTCTGCACTAAACAAATAGGTTTCCTGGTTTAGAAGCCCTGGTACTGGTGGAGAGTGCTAATGAAAGTACTATTGTACTTGCACTCAACATTGACAGAACTGGAATGTTCTACCACACTACTGTGCTCAGGCAAGCTTTCAGCTGTGTCTCCAAATCCATGGTAATGTCCATACTGTAAACTTTCACCAATACCATCATGCCAAGATGGCCTATGAGATACCCAGCTGCTAGGACTTCCATCAGAATGCAAGGACCCACACTTTGATGTACTAACAACCTCATCATTATTTTCTGTGAACCTTCCGTGCTCATCTGCACTCTCCCTTTTCCCATTTATCAAAGCGTTGCTGTTGAATTCTTTGGAAGATACAAGGCACTTGGCTGGACTTGTTTCCATTTCGCCAAGCTGTGCCGTGCGTCCATTAGTTGCTTGTCCATTTGTTAAAGGACCGAAGAGCGACATACCGTTCTCATCTGTATTTAAAAAATACACCTGTCAAAAATCTTGGGGAAACATGATTGCAAAATCAGGACTTTCAACATGACAAATTCAAAATCACCAGTATATTTTGCAATTAAGATAGCACTTTAAACACCACAACCACGGTGTCCAGCATTTTCTGGCACCACACCCTGGTAAAAGTCAAACATATAACAGTCCTCCCGATGTTTGTCACCCAGCATCAAGTTTAGCAATATAAATGTTAAGCAACTTTTCACACCATTCATTCGATGAGACTGGCAAGTGAAGCTCAAATTTAATGAAGTGCAAATAAACTGTATACAAACGGTTTCCCATTTTTCAGTGGCTTGCCTGCACTATTTGCACTTTGGCACTCATTTACCCATCCTTTTTTGGTCAAATCCAATGAACGCTGTGAAAGGTTGCACTAAAATTGGTACAGTTAAAGTTTAATGTGAAAAGCCACTTTAGCTGTATGGAGAACACCAGAAGGACCATGGTTCCCATGTTTGTACTTTTAGTGAGGGGGTTGCATGAGGAGCCACTTGGTATTACAACCAGTAATGGATGTTTAAAGTGCCCTTTAATTGAGACATGTCATCAGTCACCAAAGGGTAAAATACATTTTCTAACTGGAAAATTTGGTCATGCTCACATGAATGCACTTTCAATCTCAAATGACCTTTGGTTAGGAACCTTACTCTGTTTCACAGTACAGAAACAAACATACTACAAAGGTTAATGTGTTGCACCAAAGAAAAGTGTAGAGATAGGTACTAGAAGATTTTAGCAACCCCCTTTGCTGATCTAAAACCTATGGGTGTGAATCAAGATTGTTTTAGTTCCTGCAACAATTAAAATAAAAAAGTCTTCACCATCCATTTTCAGTTTGAAATCAGAACTTATGCTAAATATTATTGACTAAACTAAGCTATTATAGTGTATTAAATCTGAATTGCAGAATGATGTAATTTAGATTGTTTGTTAAAAGGAACATTCCAAGCACCATAGCCACTTTATTATTAATTATAATTCTGCTAGGTGTTGCTCCCTGTTCAACTCCATCAGAGAGCTGTGAGGTCTGTTTGTGTTCAGCCCTGCAGAGCATGCCTCTAAATGGCTGATATTGATCAGCTATCAAACAAAAAAAAGATAGTACTGCACTGCAGTGCTTGGCTCCAGAGAGCTAATGTTGCAATATTATTCATTTAAAGGAAGCATGCTAATTATTTTGAGGCCAGCTGCTGGTATAGGTTACATCAGAACAAGACCTCAATGATCTGTACTTGGACCCATTCTCTTTAATATTTTTTATTAGTGATATTGCAGAAGGTCTTGATAGTAAGGTGTCTTTTTGCTGATGATACTAAGATATGTAACAGGGATGATGTTCCAGGAGGGATAAGCCAAATGGCAAATGATTTAGGTAAACTAGAAAAATGGTCAGAATTGTGGCAACTGACATTTAATGTGGATAAGTGCAAGATAATGCATCTTGGACGTAAAAACCCAAGGGCAGACTACAGAATATTTGATAGAGTCCTAACCTCAACATACGAGGAAAAGGATTTAGAGGTGATTATTTCTGATGACTTAAAGGTAGGCAGACAATGTAATAGAGCAGCAGGAAATGCTAGCAGAATGATTGGTTACATAGGGAGAGGTATTAGCAGTAGAAAGAGGGAAGTGCTCATTCCATTGTACAGATCACTGGTGAGACCTCACTTGGAGTATTGTACGCAGTACTGGAGATCGTATCTCCAGAAGGATATTGATACCTTAGAGAGAGTTCAGAGAAGGGCTACTAAACTGGTTCATGGATTGCAGGATAAAACTTACCAGGAAAGGCTAAAGGATCTTAACATGTATAGCTTGGAGGAAAGACGAGCCAGGAGGGATTTAATAGAAACATTTAAATACATAAAGAGAATCAACACAGTAAAGGAGGACACCATATTTAAAAGAAGAAAAACTACCACAACAAGAGGACATAGTCTGAAATTAGAGGGGCAAATGTTTAAAAATAATATCAGGAAGTATTACTTTACTTAGAGGATAGTGGATGCATGGAATAGCCTTCCAGTTGAAGTGGTAGAGGTTAACACAGTAAAGGAGTTTAAGCATGCGTGGGATAGGCATAAGGCTATCCTAACTATAAAATAAGGCCAGGGACTAATTAAAGTATTTAGAAAATTGGGCAGACTAGATGCGCCGAATGGTTCTTATCTGCCGTCACATTCTATGTTTCTATGTAAGACAAAACAACCTCTACAGTAAAATCTTTTGTTTGTTCTTTGTGAAAAAATGTTAGCTTTGGGCACATTTATACAATCAATATATGGAACTGTACTATATACTGTGGACAATGCTGCTTGAACGGACTGTATGCAACGTTTTTACACATGGAAGCATTATATGGCTTGTACAAGATAACCCATCTACATAAATATATAATTGGATATTAACTATAAGATGTCAGTAAGTTAATGAAAATAATTAAATTGAATACTACAAAAATATATCTGGGTATATTTATGCTTAACTTAAATCCCAACTTGCATAGGACATGAAAATCATTTCAAATTAGAAATATCACAAGTAAAGCAAAATAAGTTTTGTTTTTAAACAAAAATGTCAATGCTCTTTGAACACAGATATTCTTAGTAATTTAATTCAGTTGAATTAAGCAAAAAAAATAAAAAATCAACATAGAAATATGCTTTAACTATTCTGTTAAAGGTTCTCTTGTTTAAAGGGACACACCAGTCACCCAGATCACTTCTGCCCATTGGAGTGGTCTGGGTGCCAACTCCCACCACCCTTAACCCTGCAAGGTAATTATAGCAGTTTTTATTAACTGCAATAATTACCTTGCAGGGTTAAATCCTCCTCTAGTGGCTGTCCATCAGACAGCCACTAGATGGAGTTCCGTGTTCTTAGAACACAAAAAGTGTTTTAAATGACACTGACATCCTCACGCTATGCATGAGAACCTCCAGCGTCGCCAGAATCCCCATTGGAAAGCATTCAATAATGCTTTCCTATGGGGAGGTCTAATGCACGCGGCCGCGCATGCGCATTAGGTCTCCCCCACCGCTTGATGTAGGCAGGGGAAGGAGCATGGGCGCAGCCTGACCTAGCGCCGAGGGACATTGGCACTGGATTCAGGTAAGTCACTGAAAGGGGTTTCAACCCATTCAGCAACATGGGATGGAGGGTGGGAGGGATTTACTGAAGAGTCTCTTTAAGTTTTTAGTTTAAAAACAAGAGCTTGATTTATTTTCAGTACAGTCAAATATATGTATTCAGTTACCATCCTTTGCTTTCAAAGCAGTATCAATTATTCTAGGTACACTTGCATACAGTTTTGAAAATAACTCCAATGGTAGGTTGTTCCATACATCTTGGATAACTAGCCACAAATCTTTTGTGGACTTGGGCAGTCGTGGTTGCTTCTATTTCTTCAGGTTATCCCAGACCAGGGGTGAATCTGTGCATCACTTGTAGGCCTTTGTGTTCTTAATGCTGAAGATTGTGCTTAATGACTGTGGCTGTATTTTTAGAGTGGTCATGCTGCAGAATAAATGTCGGGCCAATCAAATGGCTTCATGGATAAGTATAGGTCTATATTGCTCATCAGTGAGATTTAATTCTGACCAAATACTAAACTCCATTTGCAGTAATCTAGCACCTAACCCGCAAATACCCCCAACACGCTTCAAAGATGCCTGCTGACATTCATTCTTGCACCAGTCTCCAGCCTTTCAGCGTACAGACAGCCTGCTGCTAAAGCCAAATATATAACATTTTTACTCATTATCCCAGTGCAACTGCTGACATTTTTTTAAAAATGTGTCCAGTGGCCTTTTTTCCACATTAGAGTTATGGCTTTTTGGTTCAAGCCTTCCATGAAGAACACTTCTGATCTGAATTCTCTGGACAGCAAATGGGTCCCACTGAATCCTGACAATTCTAAATGGATGGCAATGCTGGACATCTTCCAACTGCGAGTGACAATTGGAAGATGTCCACAATGCGTGTCATCTGCTGCATGAAGTTACCTTAGCCTACCACAGCATCTGTGATAGTCAACATTGCCTGTTTCTTTGCGCATTTTCAAAAGAGCTATGACAGTTCATCTGTTAACATATGTCTGGCTATATATTTCTGCTAGAGGAGACCTGTTTGATTAAGAATAAGTACTTTATACTACCTTCCAACTTATCTTGTTGCTGTGCCATGGTTTATGATGTTTGACCTTAAACTGTATTCAGCAGCTTGGCTGTTCCTCACCCTGTTTTTTTGAGCCTACACAGCTACTTCACTTAAAAAGGGACACTCCTCTGCCCAAATACAAAAAAAATCAAATAGATCAAAAAAAAACCAATATCACTGTTTAGATAAACAAAATGAAAACATGCATGCATTTAATTATACATTTTCTTCATTGGGGTATATCTAAATGTAGCTTGCAATAAGCTGCAGATCTCATCTGCTGTCTTTGCAAACCCCACCCACCCCCTTAATCCTAAGCCCAGACCTTCTATGGATGTCCAATCATAGACTAACCAATGCAGCTCAGTGACAAGTCTTTGCAAGGCAGGTGCTCTGGATAATTGCTTCCTCTGGAGTTTAGCTCCACTGCTCTAAACAACCATGAAGGTGGTTAATTTATAAGAGTGCCAGCTTCTATTGAAAAATGCATTTTTATATTTTTAAATTTTACAGAAAGGACACACCCTTCACACAAAAAGCATTTCAGCAAGCTAGAGCACTTTAGGTGTTTGGAATGTCTACTTAATGATTGTCTTTCAACCTGCATAGTAAATTGATGGTCATGAGCATTGTTTGGCATAACTGCCATGCAAACAACAATATGCCAACAACATCCCTGACTTTGTGCAAGTGAACCTAGAAAAATGAATGCTGTTTGAAGGCAAAGGGAGGTCACACCAAATGCTGATTTGATTTAGATTTTTCTTTTATTTACCCATTTTGCTCATTCATTAAAACAAACTATTAACCTGACTATTTTTAAAGCACTCTTACTTTAATGTCTTCTTCCACAACTGCCTAAAACATTTGCACAGCAGTAAATATATCTAGATTCTATTTTGTTACAAGTAGTGTATTATACACCACAATACAGCAATAGTAATGCTTACTGCAAGCTGTTCAAATTTGCTTAATACTGAAGCTAAAAAATTTCTAGAGCTTACCAATGTTACATCAGGAAATGTAGCTGGTATCCACGCCTCTGAATCGCCCAAATGGCCAGTTTGTTACGAAATAAGACGAAGGACTCTACAACCAAGAATCTCAAAAAAGTGACCATAACATAGGGTACTCCAAGTAGGACTTCCCTGCTGTTGCCCCACAGAACAGTTACTGAATAGTTTCACACTTACCTGGGGACCCAGGTGCCTGCAGTCCTCCACATCTCTGCTAATCACTAAAAGTGGAAGCTCCAATTCCAGATTAGCAACATCAATTTTACCTGGGGAGACTTCTGGCATTATAACTATCTAATTGTGCTGCAATGCTTTTGCCCCCCGGGAGTTCCCCTTTGCAGATTTACTTATTATTATAATTAATGCTACTGCTGGAACCTAATATTTAGAGGGTTCAACATAGACCTATTAGGATGAACTGCTCATCTCAACAATATATCCAACTAAAGCTTTCTCCGTGAATTTGGTTGGGAGACTTCCGCAAACAGGGATTTTGCAATATAAAATCAAAAAGCTAAGCTTACAGATAAAAATACCCTAATGAGTCATGAAAAATAAAAAAAATTTTGCAATGCTTTTCTATGTTACTAATACAAAAGGTAAACATATGTAATGGCCTACTAGTTATACATATTGTACTGCTATATAGAAAAGGCAGCACTTCAAAGAGTTTGTTTTTATTTTATTCAGTATATAAATGTAGTTTCCATATCTGTTACAATCAGAACAATATACTAATAAGGTCATGATTAGCAATGACTTCCATACTGAATTTGCGTAGTTACATTGCTCTGCACAGCAAGTCACTTTTTACTTCGGATGCAACCATTTTTGTTTTTTTCCAAATTTTGCTGTAATTATAATGGTGCTTTGAAAGTTATTCATACATTGCATATATAAATCAGTCTGCTATAATGGTTATTTCATCTATGATAAGAGCACAGACAGGAGTGTGTGCAACCAGAGTAAATAAAAACATTTGAATTCATAGGATAACTCAAGACTATTGGTGCAAAGATTTCCACTATAGGAAGACTTAAGGCCCAGTCAAAATGTAGCATTTTACAATTCTGAAAGTTCAAAGGTTAGCCTTTAAAGGAACACTCAAGGCACAATAACAATTTCATCTAAATGTAGTTATGGTTTAATCCCGAAGATGCCTCCAGTGCTGATCTCTGCTCCCCCAAGCTGCAATCTGCTCCTGAAATGTCAGATTAAGAAAGTATGAAGTGCCACCGGGCAGGGGGCTGACTCCACTTTCACTAAACTGGCTTGGAAAGAAACCTTTCCCAAGCCAGTTTTGAAAATGTGGAGACATTGATTGACTGAGTGCATCAGCTGACCTTTCTCAGTTAGTGAGCAGGACCTCTGCCCATTGGCACTCTGTGCTTCCTAAATCTGAACTTTTCAGAAGCTGGACACAGTCAGGGGGGAATATAGGCGCTGGGGGCAACTTTAAGGTTAAACCGTTCAAGAGCCGTATAAATCCTGAGGGTTAGAATGTGCCCAGGTGCCCCCAGGCACCAAAACAACCTCACTTAGATTAAGTTGTTATGGTGCCTAAACTGTCCACTGATGTATGCAGGGTTAGTGCATTGCTAACAGTCAAATGATCATACAACAAGACTCATGGGTGTTCCAAGTTCAATAAGTTAGCTTAACATTAAAATATTATGGAAATTCTTTTAGATCAAATGCCACTGCACAGAGAAATTAAGAAAGTTAAGAGGCATATCATGGCTCTGTGTAAATAATGCTGTGGTTGAGGTGTTAAGCTTACAACTACTTTACAACAGATTAAGGTGAAATAGCACTGTGTATACAGAGTAATCCAAGTCAGAACCAACACACTGGTAATTGAGAGATTCAGAGCAAAAAATAAATAAAAATAAACACAAACAGGACACAACCTTAGTCTTAATAAGGTTATACAATATCTAATATATAAAGTGTAACAGCAATAAGACTGATGATGGTCCACTACTCTGCACACAAAAACAGTGTTGTATAGCTTATTTCTATTGAAAACAGACTATTAAACTGTCTGATACATCTAAATGACCATTAACAAAAATAAATAATAAAAATAATAAAAAAAATAAGTTGCAAACTGGAGTATTTTTGTCATCTTCTTAAAAGTGCTAAAAAATAAATTCCAGCCTAATAGTCTATATTATGTTAACATTATTTAAAAAATCATGATGACAGAAAATTTGTAAGACCACCAGAAGACACTGGGGTAAGGAGCTCAAAAATAAGCGTATTGACTGATGCAACGGAAAGGGGTTTGCAATGCAGACAATGTGCAAATATCAGCATCAGCCGGTCTAATATACTCGTTCTCCATTGGTTTCAGATCTTCAAGCATCTGAGTCTTGCAGCAGCTGCCATCAATCTGCCCAATCCCACCTGTTATCTCCACGGAGTGAATTTCTACATTCATGTTCTCATCGTCCTCCAGGTCTCCAGTCAGGTGCGGTGGATAAGACAAGCAAAAGCCATTCACTGCATAGGGAAGAAGGAAAACAAAAAAACAAAAACCTTAAATCTGACTCAGATGCTAAACTAAGATAGTATAGCATGCAAAGGTTTGCAAGTTTTAAGACTTGGGTCTAACGGCCACAGTAGAATGAAGCAGTAACTAGCATCAAACCAAATATCAATGAACGAGAATCAACTTACAATTACTAGATGTTTTAGTAAAAATAAGTATGAATATGAGATTTTGGTGACCCACAAGTCACCAGTTTCAGTGGATTCACTTCCTCTCATGCATATGAGAGGTGTAGCAAAACTGCAGATATGTAGTATTCTCTTTTCCCCTCTCATACCCACATGAGCAAAATGTACCAATACTATAAACCGTAAACCAGAAAGCATGGGGTGTACAGAGATACCGTAAATGGGAATTTATGAACTACCTCCATGTTTAATTTTTAAATAAGTATAGTAGGGCAGGGATTGGCATTTGATTTGAATAATCAAAAGAGCCCAAAAGGTTCAGTATAATTTCTGCACTACAAAACACAATGCTTAGTTCATACATTTATATGTACCAAGTCCTCAAAGAAGCACATATCCCAGAAAAATACAATGTTTTTGTCTGATTGCTTTCTCTATTGATTGTTGCATAATGAAAGATAATCAAAGACTCAATTATAGGAGTCTATAGAACATTTGCATCAGTACATAAATAAACCAGACGCATAATGCCCAAAAAAAAGACAAAGCACTGGTACTCAAGTTTTGGCTAGTTAAATGTTCTTTAGTTTGATTTAAAATAAGGCACATACCTTCAGTTCTACGCTTCTTTACCGATGATGCCTCTAAATCAGTGAAGGATCTTTTACGATTATTCCCCCCATTGAAATGGTTGGGTGGAATGCTCGGAGGAACCCCATTTAAGGAGTTACTAAAATAAAAACCGTTGAGTTGACTGTTCTGAAGGTTTAGAAGGAATTGAGAACACTCTCCAAACCCCTGGGAATGTGCGAGGTCTGCTGCTGTCAAGCCACTGGCATTCCTGAAGCTGTGTAAGAAAGATTTGCATTAGAAACGGCATGTTGTACAATGAAAACATTTAGCTGCTGTCTGATGGCAAAGCATGAAGATGATCTCAATAGCAAGGCTCTAAAGTGCCACTCTTACTGGAGGGACCTCTAACACTGATGTGTGTTGGTTGCCTCTCCAGTAGCAGAGATTGCCTTCACATTGAAATGCAGTTGTGCTCATTAAAAAAAAACAAAAAACAAAACACAAAAAAAAAAAAAACATGGCATCTAGAACAATTCTAAAATTGAAAGCAAATACAATCAATTCAATCTTTTTAAAATTACACTAGAACAGGCTTCCTAAAATTGTCTACATTCCTCACCACAACAAAATAAAAAAGTTCCTAAAATTAAAATGAACTTCAGAACACTGATACAAAAGCTTACATGGTTTAAACAATTGTCTATGGCATTTAGAAGTATTAACTATAACAGATTACATTTTGACATCATAAATTGAGGTAAACCATGAAGTTATATTCAGTTGTGAAACTGCTGATTACATTGTTGTCATATCTTTAAAAAAGAAAGTCTAAAAACTTCCAGTCAGCCTTGGGATACAGAGTAGCACAAGCTTAATAAATCATCATCAAAACTGCAAGCTACAGGTCTTAGACATTTAGATATTTGTACTACTCAAATTGCAGAAAGTAGGCTTCTAATGCAATCCTCGATATGAGATGAAGTAATTATATAAAACCAAATTGCTCACTGTACTGAGGTCTGAGTGGCATGGAATATGACAATGTACTGTTATAAAATGTTATCACGTGAACTTGAGATCTATGAAAGACACAACATCACAAAACCAGTTACATTTTTGTGTGTGCTAATTTGCCAGTTGGTACAAGATGGGCATGGATTTTCCTAAAGAAAGGAATATGCTACCAGTAGTGAGCAATGAGAATTATTAACATTTCTTAACAGATGCATTGTAAATCCAACTTGAGAATCCAGTGACATTCTTTGAGACAGGGTTTAAAAAAAAAAGAAAAAAAAAAAGAACCGAACCAACAGTGCAGCAAAGGCTGGTAATGGCAATAGGGTAGAAGAAGCTTCTGTACCGAGACAAAAAAAAACCCAAAAAACACTTTGCGCCAGTCACAACAGTTGGCATGCATATCAAATCCACGTTGAGTGGAATATGCCACATGAAGTTCTGCCGCTAGAATCTCCAATTGTATACACAACATATTGTAAAGTCTTTAAGATTCAAAGTCTACAAAGTAAAGAAAGTTGTGCAGTTTTATTGCATTCTTCTCCAGTTTATTCAGGTGTTTAATTCATGTGTTTTCTTGCTTGCACAAAAATAGATGCAGAAATGTGCTCAAGATACAATTTTTATATTTTATGGTGGGCTTTACACAATATGACCGTAGTCTTGTAAAATGTAAAACTATATTTTTGTGTGCACAGACTGTCCCTTAATTTGCATTTTGTATAAATTTTGGCCTTTAAGGCAACAGCATTGCTGAGGAACGCATGTTCTGGGTATGCCCAGAATTCCTTTTTATCGGTGTATATTTTGAATCCTGACCCTAGTCCTTTTGGACCCCTCTACTATAAGTGAACCTGTGACCATAGGAAAGTGTAAATCTAAAGAGACTCTGGACACAGTTTAAGTATTGCAGTTAGCATGTTAATCTCCCATGTTTAGATTAGGGGAGGGCCCACCGATATTGGGGTGCTGTGACACTGGTGGGCTTTATACAATATGGCTATATGGTGTAACTGAATCACCAAATTGGTTTGCCAAGGTAGGCGATTTTTAAGTAGCCTTATACAATTTAAAACTATTTTTTTGTGTGCGCTGTTACTTGCATGTTCCAGGTATGCCACCAATTCCCCACAAAGCTCAGCCATTACAATCTCAAATAGTAGAGAGACATATTTCAAGTTTCAAAGTCTACAAAGTAAAGAAAATGTAGGAAAGTTGTGCACTTTCCTTGCATTGCTCTCCAGTTTATTCAAGTGTTTTCTTCCTTGCCCAAAAATGGAAAAAATGTGCTCAAAACACATAAGAGAATGATAATTAAGACCCTGCGAAGATGAGATAATGGATGCATACAGTATATTTATATATACTTTTGAAATAGATCAGCTGGTGTAAACTTTGATGTGGGATTAAAACAATCCGGTCAATGCAGTTGTCAGTGATTTTTATACTATACAATGAACCAGTAACTGACCTTCATGAAGGTATAAGAAATAACGATCAACAAAAATATGGTTACATTCAAATGAAATTCTAGCAAATAAAGTTATTAAGCATATGGAGTATCAAAACCAGCAAAGAATTTTGAAGACAATTGAACGATTAAGTGCTGTGTTATAAGAGGTACTTAAAGATACTTTACCTCTTGACTGTACCAACTACTTACTATACTATTATTAGTAGCATTGTAATTAAAATCTGTTGTCTTAATCATAATTTTTTTTTATATATATCAGATAATTTTAGGATTAAGACTGCAGTCTATAGTGATCTAGTGCAGTATATAATCTCCAATTGTATGTGCAAAATATTGTAAAGCCTTTAAGATTCAAAGTCTACAAAGTAAAGAAAGTGTAGAAAAGCTGTAGTTTTATGTAATTCTTCAGTTTATTCAAGTGTTTTCTTGCTTGCCCCCCTCAATCAGAAATGTGCTCCAGACACACACACTACATGGACAAAAGCATTAAATCACCTGACCATTACAACAGGGGCGTTTAAGAAATTGCATTCTAAATACATAGATATTAATATGTAGCTTCCCCTCCTTCCTCACCCCCACTCTAACAGCTTCCACAAGATTTGTGAGTGTTTTTGTGGGAATTTTTGCCCTTTCATCCATTAGAGCATTTGTAAGGTCAAGCACTGATGTTGGATGAGAAGTCCTGTCTCGCAATCTCTGTTCCAGTTAATCCCAAAACTGTCAGATGGGGTTGAGGTGAGGGCTCTGTGCAGGACGTCAAGTTCTTCCACACTCATCCATCCATATCTTTGAGGACTGGAGCAATCATGCAGGAATAGAAAAGGGCTTTTCCCAAACTGTTCCCACAACATTGGAAGCATAACATTGTCCAAAATGTCTTGGTATGCAGAAGCGTTAAGATTTCCCTTCTCTGGAAGTAAGGGAACTAGCCCAAACTCTGAAAAACAGCCCCATACCATTAATCCTTCTCCACCAAACATTACAGTTGGAACAATGCAGTCAAGCAATCTGCCAAACCCAGACTTGCCCATCAGACTGCCAAACAGAAGCTTGATTGGTCACTACACAGAACAAGTTTCATTGCTCCAGAGTCCAGTTGCTTTACACCACTTGATCCGACACTTGACATTGTGCTTGGTGATGTGAGGCTTGCATGCAGCTGTTCTGCCATGGAAACCCATGGCGCACAGGTTTTGTGCTATTATGCCAGTGGAAGTTTGGAACTCTACAGCAATGTAATAAGCAGAGCGTCGGCGATTTTAACTCACCGTGCACGTCAGCACGCTTTTACGTGGTCTTCCGCTTCATGGCAGAGTTGCTGTAGTTCCTAAATGCTTCCACTTTCCAATAATATAATTTTTATTTGCCCATGATATATCCAGCAGAGATGAACTTTCTCAAACTGACTTATTGCAAAGGTAGCATCCTATCACAGTACCACATTTGAATTTACTGAGTTCTCAGAATGACCCATCTTTTTCACAAATGTTTGTGAATGCAGACAGCATGGCTGGGTGCTTGATTCTGCACAGCTGTGGTCATGAATCTGATTGAGACATCTGACTTCAGTAAGAGGTATGCCTCAGAGTGAGTGTGTTTTTTTTTTTTTTTTTTAAAGACTTGGCCTGTAGTTGTGGAAGGGCTTGGGTATCCAGTCCTCTCCCACTTCACTGTGGTTGGTCTGGGGAGTTGCAGGCTGATGAGACTGTCTGGTTCAGTTCAGAACTATCTACCTCCAGTTCAAAAAATCATCAACACAAACTGCATAAACGCCAAACAAGCTGGTCTTGGCCTAGTGTACGCAAGTATTTGTTTACCTCACTCTAGTGAACAGCCACCTCACTAGAAGCTCATGGGGCACTGCCGCATCAAGCCCATCCACGGCTTCTATAACTTGTTTTTACGACATAACCGTAAGTTTGCTCGTTCAACCTTTCGGATATGGCAAATGTTACTAGTAACGCAAATTTAGCCTATTTCAATCATACATAGCATGCTTTATTCTACTTACTGTATTTGGAAGCCATACCTCATTCTGCTGACTTTATTTGGCCCTCACAAGGCCATATCGACTTTTCTCATATGCATTTTAGTTAGTCACCCTGCAATTTAATGTTTCTCTCTACATTTTAAAAGTTTTCTTTGTCTGCCCTGTGTGTTCATGCATTTTTGAGCCTTCATTGTTTAGTAATTATGTGGCTAGGTTTTGCAACTGACTGTCTAAGTTTAGGTCAGGCCCAAACTAAGACCTATACATGTGCTAAAGGAAATAAAATATAACCTTGTATATACATTCTCTGTACACAATGTAAAATTCCTTATTTTCTGTACGGGGGAATATCTTCTAAATGTCATAAATGTTCTTACTAAGACCTTACATTTATAAAACGGTATCACATGCATTTCAGTTAGTCACCCTACATTTTAATGTTTGTGCTCTGGGTATTCAGGTACTCATTAGGCCAACATTGTTTGGTAGATATGCCCCAAGGGACAGCTTGTATGCATTTAATTGTGTAATTTTCATTGGGGCATAGTCTAAAACTGCTAGCTAAGCCTGCAGTTCGCTTTTCTTCACGTTTGCTGACCTTCACCTCCGGCGTGGTTTCCCTGTACCATCATTGAGGTCCTGCCCCTGCCGCGTGCCTGTCTGTTCCACAAGGTCTGCTCTCTACTCAGTGTGTTTGCCTGCTGGGTGCTTCTCCATATGCTGCCTGGTCCAGACACCTTGGTCCCCCTGCTCTTGCCGCGCCTCTCGCCTGCAGCTGTGACTCCCCACAGACTGGTGGTAAGTACCCGCCAAGCATGGCATGCTCCCTGGGTCCACTCCCTGCCTTGGCTGACCTCTAGAACCCTTGCTTGGATGTCTACCTCTCTCCTGGTGCTCTGCCTGCTGGTATGGTGTCTGCCACTCACCTGCAGCTGTGACGTGGAGCTCAGCTGGCATGGGATTTAGCACTAATCAGTGCTCTGTCTGCTAGTAGGTTTGCCATCACCAGTCTGTTTATTGGTCGGATCTCTGGGGCGTTTGTTAAGTCATGCAGCCTGTGAATGGTATACACTGTAGTTCTGTGTGTGTGATGTATTCCAATATGGTGTGTAATTGTTATTCCCCCACCATTTGTTTTGATACAGGAAATTATATTATATATATATATATATATATATATATTAATTAATTAAAGTGTTTGAAGGGCACAACCTTTCATGTAAATCACTGACATGTTTAAAAAAAGTCAAATTAAAAAATTGCTGCATGTATTTTGCTATTTCTAGTGACTCTCCATATGGTGTAATTGCCTGTTCTGATTCTGCATCTGGTTTTACTGTCTGGTGCGCCCCTGCTCACTCGTCTGGTGTAATTGCCTGTCCCTTACACTTCGTGTTTTCGGCGCTGAGGTTCGCTCTTTTGCGCCTCTAACGTGCTCGCTGGTATGCGCTTGTTACTGGGTCTCTGTCCCTTGACCTGGATCGCCGGATGGTTCTGCACATTTTGTCATGTTCCTATACTCTCACGCTTGTCCTGTCAGGGAGCTCATCCTTCCTGGCAGCATTTGCCTGTCTTGCCTCCTGTACTCAAGTGGGGAAGGTCACTTATTTCAGTCCTCGATCTGGCCCACGCTGTATTATACGTTCCCGGTCACGGTTCTACGATTTGGCCCATGCAGGGGCATACGTTCTCCCTCACCATTCTAAATGGATCCACAGTCCGGCCCACGCAGAGGCATACATCCTCAGACTCCAGTCTGATTGAGTCCACGACCTGGCAGCACAGAGGCATACGTTCTCGGACTCCATTCTAAATGGGTCCACGATCTGGCCCACGCTGAGGTCCCCTATTAGCAGATAAGTGCTGGCTGTTAGGGATCTAGGTGTCCACTATGGTAGGTTTCTGGCCTCTATGCCATAGTCCAGTGGTCCCGCGAGGCCAACACCCATCCTCATACTCTGAGGACGACGCAATCGGCCAAAACACATTGTTATTCGCCTCGCATTGTTGCACAGGGAGGGCCTCACCGGTCACTCCCATTCTATCTTATGCTTTAGTAGTCAACGAGAGGCCATCACCCCGCCATCTGTGTCTCGGTGGCCTCTATTTCCCCTCGGGCCAACGCATAGAGCCTCTCATGCCGCTTGGCAACTAGCAGGACCTCACCTGTCACTCATTAGTTTAATTCTTCGCCACTTGGCAATAGCTGGCCTGCCGGTACGTTATATAGATCATACTAATGGTGGCTTTGTATAAATTGTATGTCTCGAGTTCCCAAATCACTGGGGTACCATCTCTACCAAACACCTCTGCAAGGTCTGGGCTCTATCTCGCCAGGACTACTCCATGAATCACGACTGGAGATCATCCTCTTATGCATTATCTATACCTGAACCGTTTAAGGATTCATCAGGCATTTCGTGTTGTATCCAAGTAATATTGAGGTATTGTAGAATATATATATTTGTATGGTACACATTTTGCCCTCTATTACAGGCCTACTGCATTGTCTGTTCCGGCACACCACAACCGACTGGTGCTATTGACTAAGATGTGTATTGCTAATTATGGGTTATCTAGCCATTACGGCAATATTGCCCCGACCACAAATATATTTTATTTATTTTCTCCATTAATTTGTTGAAATTAAAGTACTATAAAAGTAATTTACAGAAACCCTAGAAAATTTGTAGTTTACTACAAAAGCTTTGCTTTTAAACTTTGTGTATGGATTGGTCTTTATTTTGGCAAGCCATTAATATGAAAACACATGCAATTTCTTGTTTTTCATAGTCACTCACAAATAAGTTCTTGTTTGCAAATCTGAAGTAAATGGTTCACCGTGAGAGTAGCTACAGTATTCATCTTGCTAAACTGGCAGGAATACCCCACATTTATGATGTCAAATATCTGACCAAACAGGAGTAAAACCACACGAAAAAGTGCATTTGTTTTATCCCCTTCCAAATGGACCGCATACACAAAATGGTCAAAACAGCACATAATTACACGTAAACATACAATTCTAATTAAAATATAAATTCTATATGCGGGATATTGACTTTATCAGAAGGGTGAACAGAACAAATAAAATTAGTATCTGACAAGTGGAATTACTGTTCATCAATACAATTAAAAGATTAATTCAAATGCCATCAGACAATTTAAATAAATGAAAAATCTGTCACATTTTACCCCTCCTACTATAAAATCCAATAGATAAGGCTACTCTCAAATTTGTTCATGTTAGTTTAACAGATACAGTAGAGACTGCATATTAGGGTAACATATGCATGCAAATCTAGAAAGTCTATAACTGATTCCTAAATTAGCATTAAAACCAATCACCGCAACAAATACCTCAACAGTATGCCTTGTGTGCAGAAAGGAAGCGATACTGAACACTCATTGCCACAACTGTAAGGTTTTCGGATGAGCACCTGTGGCAGATTCAGCAGTTTCTATTTGGGATGCTCCCCTTTCTAGGATTACTTGAAAAAATCAAGTCAATTCGAATTACGTAGCTGTAAAACATTGACACGTGTAGTTTTCACAGTTTAAAAAAAAAAAAAAAAACGTCTAATTTAAAGAGGGAAATGGCAAATTACAGAAAAATACAGGAAAATATGTATCACGTAAGGGATCACAATTTCAGGTAACAGGTTTCAAAAGACATGTGTATGCAGGAAAAAAAAAGTGGTTCTGAGCAAATTGTTTACTGGGCCATGTGACCACCTGAAAAAATTGTTTTAACATTAGAAAATGTAGTGTTTATATTCAACACAATATATTAAAAATAAATTTAACATGATGCTACATCACCATCATCTGAGGAAGAAAACAATAAACACACTCAAAACATGATGTAGATTGAGGTTGATTCTGCATTCAAAAGGGAATTTGGATTTCTACCATAATGGAATTACAAAACAAAAACCCAACTACATTCTTTACTCCATACCTGTAATGCTGCAAACAAGCTACACAAACTCTTTGGTGTTTATCAATGCATGCATTGGAGCATTTTATACTTTGTTCTGAAGATCAAGACAAATTGCATTGTATATGTAAATTATTCTACAAACTTAAAAAAAAAAAAAACACACACTTAAAAGACTGCCAGAGAATGTGCTCTTTATGAGGAAGCTACTTTATCCCCCCTCCTCCCCCCACAATTCAGCTGCAGGAGGAAGACAAGAATCATTCATTAAACAAGATACACCAAAAATGGAAAAAAATACCTGCTCTCAGCTGTCACAGTAAAATTGTGGAAGAGGAAAAAAAATAAAATAAAATAATAATAATAATAAAAATATAGGTAAAAAATGTGTACTGTGTATACCACTAATGGTACATAAGACATGATCTCAGATCGATGAGAGGGAAGGTATTAAAGAGGTTATCAGGAATTCACAGAAACTATATATAACAGGAGACTGTGCACAATGGTAACGTTATGTGGAAGGTCGGTTAATTGACGAGGACAAAGGTAAAATATAAAAATATAATTTAGTGCTCAGCACAAACGAACCAAAATTGTATGTTTTTTTTTTTTTAAATTGGAAAACAAAAAAATCATGTAGTGAAAAATAAAATAAATTGCCAGTTTCTACAATAACGATAGTCATCAATATTTAGGAAAAGATGAGTAGGAAACCACCTCTTAAAAAAAAAGCAAATAAAATGATGAAATAAAAAAAGTGTTTTCAAATTTAATAGAAACTGATGGCCATTTCCCTTCAGCAACTGGAAGCACAAAGCAACTTGTGCAAGTGTTCCACCTTTACCAGAAGATTAACCTAGCATGTAGATCATGAATCTGCCAACACAAAGCCCAAGAAAAACTACCTGTGCTTTCCCCCAATGGACTACCATCTGATAGATCAGGTAGCATTACCATACGGTTATTGGTGGGCAATCAGTCCTTAAAACATATAGAAACTGGGATGTTCAGTGTGGTGTTGCCCTGTAAAGGCTAGGAAGGAAGAAGTCTGAAGGTGAGGACTCTGTGTCCTGTGAGAGAAAAGAGCAATTCATTTTGATGACTAGTGCTTGGGTATTTTGAAAATTAAGTAATATCCATAATTTGTATAAGAATGATTGGTATACGAGTTGTGCAATCATAAGTTCAATGAATGATTCAAAACAAGAAATCAGAACAAGCCATGTACAAATTGTACAAGTAAAACAAAATTCTTCCCATATGGGTTTTATTAAATAAAACAAGCAATATGCAACCCAAATGCATTGAAAGTAGAAAATTAGAGTTTGGGTGTCAGCTTTAGGGTACAGGATATAAAGCACTACTTTGTAAAAATGGTAGTGATGCTTTGAAGAAGAACTAAAGGAATTAAATATGGCTCTGAATATACACAAGATTCAAAGAAAAAAACAAAAGTAAAAATATATTTTCCTTCATTATTGCAACAACTTTTTCATATTTCCTCCATCTTCCAAACTCTCGCTTTAAATGATGTCCGTCTCCAATTGCTTTTCTTTTCATTGATATTTTTGCTGTGTTTTTCAAACACAACAAGAAGCATGGAAATGGAAATTATAAAACAAAAAAAATGAATAAAGCTTATTTCGAGAAATACACAACAAAAGCCAGGAGTTTTATCTGGAAATGGTATAAAACACTTCAACTGTTGCAAAAAAAAAAAAAGGAATACATTTTGCTCAGGTATACCAATATGCCTATTCTTGGGTATAACAGGATACAGTACTAGTGATTCTTAAAAAAGGTACTGAAAATTGTGATCAAGAAATTACAACGACCAAATTCTTAAGAGATATTGTTGATCGAGAAGGCTTTACAAAATATGCAGCAATTCTTATGTCAGAATGCAGAGAAGTAGTTGTGCGTTGAGTCTCTGAATCAGAGTAAGATAAACTTTGCATTTCAACATGCAAATGCCAGTCTCCATAAATATTGCAAAGGAAAGTAGCTGAACAGGCAGGCAGTCTGCCTATTAATAGGAAAGGAGGCAATACTAAAATTAGAAAATGATTATAGCATTAGCTATAATTGCAAAAACTTAAGTTTAAGAACGATCATATTTATTAATATTTCAAGATGTCAAGTAATAGTAACCAGAGGTGTATGAAAGTAACACCCATAAGCAAAAGTCTCTGGTTCCTATGTGAAGGCAATAAAACCGCCTTAGCTGCAACATGAGCATTGAAAGTGGGCAGACTGGCAACGAAACTGGTGCCAAGACCGCAGATCATACCTAAATAAGAGCAATCAATTAAGCAAGAAGATGAACCACGGGATCAACACATAGAAAGAGAGTGGGGTAAAAAAACAAACCAAAAAACCCCAGAACTATAATTAGCCAATTTATAGCTGGAGCATATCATTACTTCTTGTTTGGAAAAATGCAGACGTTTTGTAATTACCACAACAAATACCTTAATAGTATGCCTTGTGTGCAGAAAGGAAGCAATACTGAACATGAATTGTCACAACTGTAAGGTTTTAGAATCAGCACCTGTGGCAGATTCAGCAGTTGCTATTGGGAATGCTCCCATTTCTAGGATTACATAAAGAAAAAAACAAAACAAGTCAATTCAAATTGCATAACTGTAAAACCTTGACACGTGTAGTTTCCACGGTTAATAAAAAAAAAAATAATAATAATAATTTAAAGAAGGAAAAATGAAAAAATATATATATCAAAAGAGGATCAGAATTTCAGGTACCAGGTTTCAAAAGATATTTGAATGCAGAAGAAAAATTAAGTAACGACCTATTTACTTTTTGACTAAAGAAGTTCTTCCCTAGTTCAGTATTTATACCCATAACAAGATGGAGCATACTGGAGACGAAAAATTTGCATTCCTCCTCCCCTATACCATACCCACAAGGGGGCAATGAATTGTAAGTATATCAGGAATACAAAAGAAAAGAAAAAAAGGTCAAGTGAAATTTTGACAATAAAGTGTTTCTAAAAACTTAATCAGGAGTAGAAATATTTTTTAAATAGAAAAATGGACATAATGATAAACTTTATCGCACAGAAAGTTGCCTGATCCTTACTGCCATTGAGAATGTAGAATCTGTAGCGTAAGCTGCAATAGAAGATATAAATCCATGTTCATGCAAAGAACAATAGAACATGGAAAAGACCTCTGTCAATGGGTTAAAATTACAACAGCAGCTCACTTTGGATATCAAAGAGAAGCAAATAAAAAGTTACATCAAGCCTTGTAGGTGAAAAGGAAAGTAAAAATAAAAAAAAAATAAAAAAAAAAATAAAAAAAAATATAGAAAGAAGTAAAAGGAAGTCCTTGGAAAAAAAACAAAAAACGATTCTGTTAAAAGAAATTTAAAAATAAATTACAGTTTTCCTGGCAGAAAATGACTTGGCACCTAGACTTATTTGTATTCAGTATAGAAAAGGGTGCTATTTTTAATACAGTAACCACCACTTTAGGTATTAAAAACATGATTTACAGTTTTCATAAGCACAAAAGGTTATCTTACATTTCCTGCCTCTCAATCACTGATCTGCATTAGAGTGATTAAATATTCCTGGATAACTTAATTTACTAGGCCTTACTAGAAATTACAAGTGAAAATCAGGCAATTTATAAATTTTTGTTTTATATAGAGAGTGTTTTAAATAGTGTCAAATTTCTTGCAAGCGTTTGAATCCAATAAAAATACAAGCGCACAGTTAAGCAATCTAATCACTAGAATTTATCATCTCAAATGTCCTGATCGCAGCTATGAAAATTCACCTTTGGGGACTGCAAAAACTATCATGCCACAAACTTACTGTACTTGCCTTCATCCACCTAAAGTCTGTATATGCATGGGTTTGGTCATAAAGGGACGATATGCATTAAAAGCAGTTCGCACTCAGGATACATAATAAATAAAATGTCGATAGTAAAAAGCGCTTGCCTTGAAAGATTGTTATCAATACTCTAATGAGAATGGAAAGGGAACACAGATGTGTTTACAAAAGGATATTCAGAAGGCAGATAAATATACTTCAAGGAGAAATGCAACATGAAACTATGAAATGTTTGCATCGTTTTACGATTATGGAGTTTACACCTTAGCTGAGAGGTCAACAAAATAGTGCTCTAAATCTAAAACACCCTCAGGAAGGAAGGCTTGTATATGGCATGGTCTAATTTCACTACAAAACTTTTAGTACTGTACTCAGAAAAGACATCAAAAGAAATATGAATCTCCCTTAAAGTAGATCCCAAAGGTGGTTACATTAGAAATGTATCTGCAACTTTAATGGAGGTAAAATAAATGTATGCAATTTGTGTGCAAGGATTGACATTGTGCTTAATTATATTTTCTCAAGCTATAGAATAGATACAGTAAATTTATTTTAGTACAGACCAATGGAAGTTTATAAAAGCTTGTAAAAACTATACTAAATTTACCCACTTAGAATTATAGGACATTTCTAGCTGCACAAACTGTTTAGAAAGCCATTTCATATTGATTCCATTATTCTATGAAAACAAATCTCAAAGGTGGCCAGATTTTTGGATTGTATAAATTGCCTGTTTTATTATTTTTGTGTGAGCTGTTGATTAAAAATATAATACCTTCCTGTTTGACTATTATGAAATGTACATATTGGGGACGTGCAGCATTTATATTTTAATTAGTTAAATATTAAAACAACACCTTTAGGACTCTAAAAAATGCACTGGAAATTTTAGCACCCATTTTAAAATTTTACTAACATTATAAAAAGGAACCATATAATTGTGTTACTTCATTTACTGATCTGTCTAACATTTTAAAGAGCTCCAGACATGGAATAAAGAAAGGAGTTGTAACTTACAAGTGTGCAAATAAAAACCAAACATTATGAAAAACTACAGAAGACGCTAATCAGGGAATTTTAGTTATGAAAGGGATTGACAAACATCTAGTTAGAACAGTTAAGTGAGAGGTAGGAAATGTAGGAATGCTTCTCAAACCACACAATAATTTCTGATATTTTGAGACCATCTTGATGGCCAACACTAAATAGGCCTTTTTTATATTACTTTGGAAAGAGCATGTGAATATTTTCTCAGGTTGTTTGCAGCATTACTGGGGAGCAAATACATCTTTCATCAATATGAAACACTATAGAACACAAATAGAATGTTTAATAGATCAAGCTGCTGATGGTGAACAGTAAATCTTTTTAAAACATTAAAAATGTAAATATTTAAGATAAAGGTCAAATACAATATAACTTAAACTATACAGTATAATGTATGCATTACCAATACTGTAAAGAATGTATCAAATCCACTTATGTGTGTGTTAATTATTGTCATGCCAGGAGAATAAAGTGTGCCAATCAACTCTGGCGGACAGAAGGTAAAATAGGCAAAAGAGCGGGATTTGTCAAACTGGCGCTTCTCCAGGTGTTGAGCTTAGCTCTCCCAGCATCAGTGACCAGTTTAGGAATAAATAAGTTGCAATCCAACAGATGGATAGCTACAATTAGACAATTCAGCTCAATACACTATAAGCTTATTTTCTGTACATGTCATGCACTGTCATATCAGTAAAAGATGACAGTAAGTTTATTCATTTGGTGAAGACTAAAATGATTAATGTGTTTATGATTTGTTCTATTTTAACAAAATTATATGAAGAAAAAGCAAGTAAATAAAAAAAAGACATACTCTATTTGTGCCCCGTTTGACACTAGAGCCTTCAGGCAGTCCATACTACCAGCCCTTGCTGCTTTGTGGACTGGGGTTTCGCCTACGTAGTCCTGAAAAAACAAACACAGAACTGTGAGAAAATTCTGAAATGAATGAAAACACTAAAAATAAAAGTCTAAAACAGAGCATATATGAGGAATTATGAAACCAAAAGAAGTTCACACACAAAGAATTTCAGCAAGCTACGTTAGGGGTCAGATGTGTACCTTTAAAGGAATACTGTACGCATTTTAACAATTTTTATTTTTTAAGTTGTTATAGTGCTAGTGATTAATTGATTCAATACATTTCTATGAGGAGATGCTGATTGGCCAGGCTGGTGTTTAACCCTGCCCCACCTCCTTGACTATCTCAGCCAATTCAATGCTTTTCCTATGGGAATAAGTCAGCCAAAAAGGCAGATCAGGGGCAGAGCCGGTGGACCCGCACAGCACTAGAAATAAGGTAAATGTTCTTAACTGTTATGGGGGGGCGGGCAAGCAACCTAAATGGCGTCTTTAACACTATAGGGTCAGGAATGCATGTTTGTGTTCCTGACTCTATATGTTCTTTTAATGATTTTCTGTTGCAGAATATTAGGTGCATCGTGGTGGATTAGCCCACCATACTGTAGGCTTCAACCTGAGGACTTACCTGTTTGTTTACAAGTGCACCTGCTTGAATGAGCCATAATAGGCAGTGGGGATGACCTCCAAAAGCGGCAATATGTGCAGGGGTTTGGGCAAATCGAGTTGTACAGGCATTAATTGAACATCCAGCGCCAACAAGCTGAATAAGGCACTCCAACTACATTAAAAAAAATATATATATATTTTTTAGTTAGACTTAATATAATTTCAAAGAATCATACAGAATTATTATACTTGAGAGGTTAGAGATATCTTTATTAAATACGCAGAAGTGTCAGAACGGCTTTAAATATTCATATCAAGAGTGTTGAAATTTCACTAAAATTTGAATGTAATCTAAAGATACCGCATGAGGTAACACAAGTCTAAGATTGCATTTTGCAAAATCCCTAGTAACAGCTGTGAGATTCAGGCATGGTCTTGTTCATCAGGAAACAATATCTATGGATGCCATTGTGGTTTAGAGGGACCCTCTGTGGTACACAATATTGTACTCTTAAACAAATATTGAATATAGCAGTGACGTCTGTCAGAAAACATGCAATCTACTGATTGTAGTAAAGATAAATATGGAATTGGGGGCACACCCGGAACATGCATTTCGCAGAAATGGTGCTGCCAAAGTACAAATATGAGGACGTTTTGGATAATGTCACTTAAATTGTAATTCTCATAGAGCAGATATATGATATGCATTGTGAGTATATACAAACAATTATCACTTTGTTTAGTTTTGACACTGCTTTTTTTTTTTAGACTGAGCCACTGGAGGCACTTAATTCTTAAATGGAAACTTACTTCTTTGGAATTTACACCATTGGATAAAAAAAATTAATTTAAAATCACCCCTAACTTGCCATAATGTTTTTTCATTACATGCTCAGCTTTCATATAAAAAGGACGCTATAGTCACCCAAATCCCTTTAGGAAGTCATCTTTGTACAGTGCCCCTGGCATTCTGGTCAAGCAATGTTAAACCTTTTGAAGATACAGCAATGTTTACATTGCAGGGCTAAATAACTCTAGTGGCTGTCTCCCCAACAGCCACTAGATGGTGCTCCTGCACCCACAAAAGAGTCACTATTCTTTAACCCCTTAAGGGCCAAACTTCTGGAATAAAATGGAATCATGACACGTCACGTGTCCTTAAGGGGTTAAAGTTCAACATTTCCAAGCATTGCATGAAGCCGTTGAATATTCGACCAATGCCTCTTAGAGAAAAACATTGGGTTCAATGCTTCACCATGAGAAGCATTTGATTGTAGGAGTGTGGCGCTTGCTTCACATGTGCTTGTCATCCACAATGCTACTCTATAAAAAGTATTTGATTGGGTGAGAGGTCAAAGACAAAACGGAAAGCAGAAAAGGCAGCTTTATAGACAGAGTCAAAGCAACAACAAAAAAAGTTACTGTCAATTTTTAAACATGTAAGAGGGTGCCAGGGGGTAGTGATGACCCAAACAATAGAAAACAAAAATAAAATAGTATATATAAATCTCTCAATTCCACCAGTATAGGTTCACTTTAAAGGATCACTATAGTGTCAGGAAAACAAAGCGGTTTTCCTGACACTATAGTGCCCTGAGGGTGCCCCTTCAGCCACTTACCTTAATCCAGTGACCCTTTCCTCCCCTGCCAACGTCAGCGGAGCCGAATTTCTCAATGCTTTCCTATGGACGCTCTGCGCGATGGAGTCATAATATGCTTCCAGCATCGCAGATGCGCCTCTAGTGGCTGTCCAGAGGACAGCCACTAGAGGCGGGCTTAACCCCAAATGTAAACAGTTTTTCTTAAAACCTGAGGGACCTGGCAGCCAGCCCACTTCATTGAGCTGAAGTGGTCTGGGTGACTATAGTGTCCCTTTAAAGATTTAGCAAGTGTCAGTTCATTTCAGCCAAAGTAAATGTTGAAATTAAGAGAAAAGTTTGTTTCATGTCTCCCTTTCTTTGTGTTGACTGTCAGGTGCAAATGACAGAGCTAACACCGAAGCGCCCATGAATTGTACATTTGCAAACTGTTTTACTACTTACTCCAGGAGGGTGCCAGTGTACTCCGGGCACCATAACCACTAAAGTGGACTGTAATGTTTATGATGTCCGGTGTGCACCTGCACTCCCGCTTGTAAGTAATCAAACCGGAAGATCTCTGAACTATGCCCAGCAGAACTGAGAACATCAAATGGTACTCCGGGCACCAAACCCACTACAGTGTACTATAGTGATTGAAATTCTCCTTGGCAAGTTTGAAATTAAATCTGTAAATATTTTCCACATACTCTACATTACAAGCATAGTACATACCAACAGGCTGAAATAGTAATTTTTTTTATTTATTTAAATTTAGCCCTAGTGAACACATGTTTTTATCTGGGCAGAGGTTCAATAATGCTTAAACAACCCTACCCTCATCAATCATGAGCTTAAACGGGACACCATATAAACTAAGTGGTGAGTGAGCAGCGCCACTGGCATTTACTCTTGCAATGTAAAACATAGCCGTTTTGGAGATTTGCTAGGTTTACATTGCGGTATTAAACTTACCTCTAATGGTTATTACACTGACCGCCACTAGATAATGCTACCAGAGTGAGAACCGAGATAGTCTCAATTGGTGAAATTCCACACACTCACGCACGAACTGCATATAGATATTAAACATCCACTGATGACTTGTCAGAGAAGCACTGGATTCACTACAAGAAGTATTTGACTGGCAGACCTCTCGGGGTTTGCTGTACTTCTTGTCCAAAATGCTTCTCTATGAAGCATCAAATTGGACAAGAATTTGAAGAGGTAATAAAATAAAACAGGAGGAGGAGTGGGCAGCTGGAAAAAAGTAAATAAAAGTTTAGTTGGGGAAAAATATAAAAAGGGGGCGGGGGGTTCCCAAAAGATGCTTTTAATTTTGACAAAATATTCTCTTTAACCTCTTAAGGACTGAGCAAAACTCACACGTTGTGATCAAAACAAAACTGTGAATTTGACTATATGCCTGTTCAACCGTGATTCACCACTTTCATATTACGTGCTGTTATGGGCAAATGCAAATATTACAAGTTTTAGAATTAAATGTTGTATTTCTTAAACTGTGTACTTTGTCTTTAAGAGATATTGCAAACTGACAATGTGTTAGAAATTGAACATGTTTTTCATAGAGGTTTCTTTAACCCCTTAAGGACCAAACTTCTGGAATAAAAGGGAATCATGACATGTCAAACATGTCATGTGTCCTTAAGGGGTTAAGCAATAACCTTAGTGCATAATATGTTTGCGCCACTTTGTCCCAGACGAATTACAATAATAATGCATAAACAAGCTTCAAGGCTATCCTATGACTCTTTCAGTACGTAATATACTGTGGTAACCTTAGTAGATAAGGATGTTCAGACTTTAAGATGCCATCTTGAACTAAGTCAGGAAAATTTCCATGACGTATACACCCTTTAGTTATGGACTTGTATTTTTGCCAAGTTAAGGGAGGTCCTAAAATGAATAAAGTAAAAGAAGTGTTGCTTTTTCATATATGAACTACAGTAACCCTAAAATGAAGACACCTAAGGTATAAATAGGTGTACTTTTAAATGTTAAGGAAGAGAGGAAAGACTTGGAGACAGACACTGCTCCATGTTAAAAAGACATGATGACATGTTCAGAAGGGTATGTTAACCTATTAATGATATTTGCAAGCATTGAGTTTAATCTTATAAACTCTGCGATATGGATTTTAGATGTCTATATTTATATTTTTATATAATAAATATCTAAAAAGACAAAACTTTATTGCTTCCAAGACAATCCTTATTTTATATTGTATTCTCAATTATTTATATATGTTAAACAGATGATCTCTTACACTAACTATATAAAAATTAAGATATCTGTATGGTTAGCCCTACTAAGTTCTATGCCAGACGCAGTTACAGTGCACCCACACTTATATATCATTTTATTCAGGGGAAATGGGGGTTTCCTTTAACATCAAATATTTAGCTATGAAACAGAATTTAATATGAATAAAATAAAATGGGAGAAAATAAGATATGTTTTGTTTTTTTTAGTTCTACGTGACATTTTAACTGTGAATGTCATAATACTGTTTGCTTTTACTGCAATGAAATACACATATTTGTATTAAGCGATGTCTCCAGAGTATAACAGTACCCCTCATGTACAGGTTTTATGGAGTTTTGGGAAGTAACAGGGTCAACTCTAGCATGTTACATTTTTCAGTTTTTTCACATTTGTGTGTGAAAAATGCAAAAAAACCTAATTTGGCCGCCACTTTTGGCCAGTGTTTGTGACTAAGTGGCTTCTAAAAAAGACTGGACATACCCCATTTGCAATACCTTGGGTTGTCTACTATTGCAAATGGTATGCCATCATGGGGGTAATTCTCATTCCTGGGCTACCATACGGTCTCAAAGGTAACGTAACCAATCTGGCGAATTTCAATGTGAAAAAACTGAAACGCAAGCCTTAGATTTGACTCTCCAGCTTTTGAAAACACCATAAAACCTGTACATGAGGGGTACGGTTATACTCGTGAGAATTCGGTGAACACAAATATTAGTAAAAACAAAGAAAAACGTTACCTGCACTCTGGCCTAAATCCCCATGTGCATTTGAACAAAAATGGATAAAAGGTTAAATGTTAAAGGGTTTATAAAACACCCCTTTCTGTCTCACTTTGTCTGATATCAGCAAAGTTTATTGTATGTGCAGAAGCCCTATAAAGGGTTAAATGTTAAAGGGTTTATAAAATACCCCTTTCTGTCTCATTGGAGACTCTTGGCTGATATCAGCATATCTAATGGCTAGTGTAGGAACTCACCTATTGAGGCTTGCCTTGACGTGGCTGGTGAGCTTATATATTCAAATGGCCATTTAGAATAGAACTAAAGAGCCTCCATTTTTGTTCAAATGCACATGGGGATTTAGGCCAGAGCGCAGGTAACGTTTTTCTTTGTTTTTACTATGTATTTTAAGCTGTTGGATACTAAGCCACTGCTGCTGTAAGCGCGGTGCTTTATCTTTGTGTTTGTATACAAATATTAGTGTTTCAAAACAGTAAAACGTATCACAACAATTATATTGTCAGTGTAAGTGCCATTTTTTGTGTGAAAAATGCAAAAAATGTCACTTTCACTGATGTTATCGTTGTAATACTTTTTACTGTTTTGAAACACTATTTGTGTTCAGCAGAGTCTTCTGAGTAAAACAGTACCCCCATGTACAGGTTTAATGGTGTCTTGGAAAGTTACAGGGTTAAATATGGTGCTAGCAAATTAAATTTCCTGGACTTTCTACCTGGGTTGTCAGGCAGGTCCCGCAAATTGTAATTACTAAAATGACCTAATTACACACACAAGATCCAGCGCACTCATCTATCCGCTAAACAGCAACTTCAATGTTGAAAGATTTTTATATTAAAAAAAAATTTTTAAATTATTTTTATGTAGGTATATATAGTGATATATACTTATATATATATATATATATATTATTTTGTTCTACGTGTATTCTGATATCAATATATATGTTAATATCAAAATACAGTCAGAAAGCAATTACACATTTTTTAATTATTTCTTATTTTTTTAATGTATTTACATATTTATTTTATATTATATAAAAATATATAATTATAAATATATTTAATAAATATCATTCTACGTGTATTTTGATATTAATATATTATTATATATATTATTAAAATACACTTAGACCGTGTGTATATAATTTTAAACTTTATTTTAACTTTTTTCAGGCAGCAATAGGACTACCAGTAATTACAGGCACTCCCCCTCCATGTGATTGTGAGGTCCTCGCAATCACATGGCACAGGAGGGCCGGAACGCAGCAGGGGGACTCCCTGGGATGCCAGATGAGCCCCCCCCCCCCACCGCGACCACCGGCGAGCAATACATAGGACAGCGGGGACGTGATATGCCGCCCACCGGCGTTTAGAGCCGGGTCCCCAAGAACGGCATAGCACACCTGCCATCCTTAAGGGGTTAATGCCTCTCTCCCATATCTGTCGACTTACAGGGACACTACAGTCACCAAAACAACTTCAACTTAAGGATGCAGTGTTGGTGTATAGATCATGCCCCAGCGGTCTCACTGCTCAATTATCTGCCATTTAGAAGTTAAATCACTTTGTTTATGCACCCTAGGCACACCTCCGGGCATGTGAGTTACACAGACTTCATAAACACTTCCTGTAAAGAGTCACCTAATGTGTTAAGTTAGGCAGAATTTGCCATAAACAAAGTGTAAACTTCTTCTCTCCTGCTCTGTTAATAGCTTGCTAGAACCTCTTGTATGTAATTAAATTTCAATTTACAGAATAGGAGATACATTTGAAGTAAGTTACATCGTTTGAAAATAAAATCATTTTTTTCATGCAGGTTGTGTCAGTCACAGCCAAGAGAGGTGTGACTAGGGCTTGAGACTGCAGCGGCATAACCTACACACCAAAACTGCTTCATTAACCCCTTAAGGACACAGCTTCAGAAGCTTGTCTTACGCTTAATGACAAGCAATTTTTGCATTTTCTTGCTGTATGCGTTCAACTGCAATTTGCATCTCTCTCGTTTATTGCACCGACACATATTATATACGGTTTTTAAAGGGCAGAAAGGGCTTTAATTTGATGTAACATATATATAAATGCTTATTTATTATTATTAAAAAAAAAATGCAAAAAGAAGTTTTTTTTTTTTTTTTTACAGTTTTTGCAATAATGTATGCCTAATTAGTGTAGGTTAAAGAAAGTAATTACAAATAAATTAATTTAGTTGTTCTGATTTACAGAATATATAATGTGTCTGGGATTTTAAGTTTTTTTTTGGTAGTTACAGGTCACAAAGCACAAGGAGTAAAATAAACTGTTAATGTGGAGCGATTTTAGAATTTGGTATGTTTGTCTTGTAAGCTTAATAGCCATAAAAGAAAACAAAATTGCCACACAAAAGTATATATTTATATAAAGTAGACATCACGGGCTATTTACCTAAGGTTGTTTTGACACTTTCTACGTAGCCATTTTACTGCCAATCTCTGCTAAATATTAGGGTAAAATTTTGTTTTTTTGGCACACAAACTTATAACAAAGAACTTCTCATGTGTATTTTGTAAAGTTGGTGTGTGCTATTCCTGTACAAAGTTTTATTTTGTGTTCAATTACTTCTGCTGAGTACAACGATACCCCCATTGCATGTCTTTGGCACTATTTTGTGAAGCTACAGTGCCATATAGGAGACCTGTCCGTTTCAACATTTACAGTAGAATTTTGAGAGGCGGATTTAATGGGCCTATGCTTCATTTTGGGGTATTATAGCAGTTTGACTGCTCAAAAAACCCCACAAAGGCCTACCATTTGTAAAAGTAGACACTCCAGGGTGTCTCATATGGTGCATATTGTGACTTAACATGACCCCATTTTTTCACCAATAAATGTCAAAAGTATGTGGTAAAAAAGAATTTTTGGCATTTTTTACGTTCGGATTACATTTTTGCTGGGCATTTTGTACATTTCATATGTGCCACTAAGTTCAAACCCCCCAAATTATGCTCAGCTAAGTCTTCTGAGTGAAACAATATGCCCAATGTATGACCTAGACACTATTTTGTGAAGTTACACTGCTGTAAAAGAGACTTGACAAGTTAAGGTTTTTGAGTGTGAATTTTCATGGAGGATTTTTTGATGCATCCGTGACCCACTTTGGAGCACTTGAGCAGGCTACATATTACAACTACACCATAAAGGCATACCATTTCTTAAAGAACACATCCCAGGGTATTTCAAAAGGCATATTTTGAACCTTAGCGTGGGATATTTTTTCCACTAGCTTGTACCAAGTGTAGTGGAAATAAGCGTTTTTTATCCTTTTTGACACACAAAGTGAGTTTGCACATCGTATGTGTGCTACGACTGTATAATACTTCATATGTTGCTCAGCTATGTTGGCTGAGTACAGCAATACCCCCGTATGTACCTTTGCCTCGTATATGTGGACATCAGAGGGGCACATTTGGGACACAGCCATTCCAGTTCTTTTCAAACTTTACATTTTTACACTGTGCCCATGTCCCATTTTAGAGTATTTTACCAGGCTATATAATCCAAATACCCCATAAAGCCATACCATTTCTTAAAGAAGACATCCAAGGGAATTTCAAAAGGCCTATTTTGAACCTTAGCGTGGGATCATTTTTCCACTAGCTTGTACCAAGTTTAGTGGTAATAAGCATTTTTTCTGCCTTTTTGACACACAAAGTGTGTTTGCGCAGTATATTTTGCAAACCTTTTGTGTACTACAACTGTATACTACTTCATATGTTGCTCAGCTATGTCGGCTGAGTACAGCAAACCCCCCCCCCCCCATATGTACCTTTGCCAGGTATATGTGGACATTGAAGGGGCACTTATGAGATACAGCCATTCCAGTTTTTTTTCAAACTTTGAATTTTTACGCTGTGTCCATGTCCCATTTTAGAGTATTTGACAAGGCTATATAATCCAATTACCCCATAAAGGCATACCATTTCTTAAAGATCAATTGGCAGGGAAGGGGTTAAGTTTATTAAAGCAGGGGAAAGGGGGGGTGGTGGGATTTAACTTTATTTATTTATTTTTTTACACAGGGAGATCAGCAGCACTGATCCGTCTCCCTGCACTTCACACAGAACCCGGAAGTGCAGAGAGGCGGAAGGTAAGTATATACAGCACATGTGCTCGCTCTGACAGGCTGACAGGCTGGATTCGAAAATTGCATTTAGCGTGCAGAATGTCCATAGGAAAGCATTGAGAATGTTTGAATGCGCGCGCTGCTCTTGCCGCGCATTCCGCTCCACTTGGGAGCTGACGTCGGAGGGGGAGGAGAGGTCACCAGTGTCAAGGGAGTCCGGCGCTGGATAAAAGTGGCTGAATGGGGTTTTAACCCCTTCAGTGCAGCGGGAGGGGGACCTAAGTGTTTTATAGTGTCAGGAAAACTAGTTTGTTTTCCTGACACTATAGTGATCCTTTAATCCCTTAAAGACACGACGTGTGACATGTCATGGTTCCCTTTTTTTCCCTTCCAGAAGTTTGGTCCTTATGGGGTTAAACTAAAGCTGTTTGAGTGACTATATTGTCCTTTTAACACGAAATGTTAGGCTGCAATTGAAAACAAGGTGAACAACTAATATCCTTCTGCCAATTCCTTGCATGAGCCTATTATTCCATCAAACCTGCATCCCTTTGTGTCTACAATCCCTCGTGTTTGTGTTATACACTCCCATTTCATTCTGCCGCCCTCCCCTATCTGTATCAGCCCTCCCACCAGGTTTTATCCCATCCAATACACCTTACAGAGTAACTTTGTTACAGGATAACACTACATGGACACCTCCATTACCCCCAGTCTGCTCCCCTCACACAGTATATTGGTAATAACAGTAATATCTCCTCCTCTCTCAGCCCCCCACGCCCGCCTTCCTCACTCTCTTTGTTTCTCGTCTCCGTCCGTCCCCCTTTTGTCAGACTAAGACCCAGAGAAAATGGCGCCAGCCCCTCCTCCTCCTAAATCCCATGGAGGGCCCCGTCCCCCCGGTAACCCCCCAGTCTCCCCCATCACCTTTCCGAAGTGTGCGGCCCAGTGTATGGGGGTCCAGCCGTAGCAGGAGTCCTCCTTGCCCAGCTGCAGCTCGGTGTGTCCAGGCGGGCCTTGCAGCAGGGCGGTCAGGCAGTGCAGGTCTCCGTCCCGGCAGGCGCGGTGCAGGGGGAAACGGAGACTGAGGAGCTCCTCACTGGAGAAACCGGCTTCCGAGCACACCGACATGGCTGGCCGCTGCACACACTCACCGAGCACACACTGACACTCACACCGAGGAGGAGCACACTGAGCACGCCCTCACTGAGTCACTGCCGGGGCGGGCACTGCGCGGCATGGAGTGTGTGTGTACACAGAATGGGGGAAATCCCGCCAAAACGGGAACACTGCTAGTATTCTATGGTATCGAACCCCTGGCAGACAGCCAGCTCAGCGGTACCGAGAGTCACCGGGTCCATAGAGTGCCCTCATACTGGGCAGCAAAGGGGGCACATCAGGGGCTAACCTGGAATTATCCTACATTTTATTTATGTGATTCAGTCATAGAAGAGCGCTAGTCAGTAAGCAGAACGTACCTAGTTTAATTATTATTATTATTGCCATTTATATACCGCCAATAGATTCTGTAGCGCTTTACAATATTATGAGAGGGGGGAATGTAACAATAAATAGGACAATTACAAGAAAACTTACACGAACAATCGGTTGAAGAGGACCCTGCTCAAACGAGCTTACAGGCTATAATTAATAAGTAAATATAGGAAAGCAATGTTGCAAAGCCTTTTCAGGACAGGGTTATTTTATACCTTGAAGTGAAACTGGAGTAAAGTTAGGTGCACTGCAGCAAAGAAGATAACTGTTGGGAATTAAAAGAACTTTTCAGATTTGAATGAGAAATATACAATATAGATCATTTAAAGCATTATTATTGTCTCCCCGGGAGGCATAACAATCTAGCAAAGCTAGCAACATAATTGCTGCGCTAAAAACACAGCACACATGAGCCCTGATCACCTAAAATTTAAAAATAGCAACATTGATGGAGGACTCTGTATCTGTCTCTGCCAAAGATATGGTGGCTGCCTCTCTAAGAAACAGCGCTGTCAACGTTAGAAGGCTCCATAAGAACGCTTTCTTTGCCAGGGATCTATCTTCTGAGGAGGATATGCTCCCAGTCAAATCCTGTAAAAGAAAAAGTAGGGTTGCCTTTCCTCTTTCTCAAGTTCTGCTGAGGAACATAAATTTGGTCCCCTCACTCTCGTTTCTGTAGTCGAAAAATTAAAGGGACAGTACCTTCTAAAACTAAACTTGTGTTTCCCTCGTTTGAGGTTTCTAAGCACATTTCACAGAAAAGGTACAAGACTCGATTGAATGCTGTCAGTCCTTTACTATCCTGCTCACGAGCATTTGCTCAATCATCCTCACTAGACCGGTCTTGTGCCAGACAGAGTTCACCTGAGATCAATTGGGAGTCTGAGGAGGTGGTTTGCTCTGCAGATTCCACTGAATGAGGGAATTTGAGCAACTTTCAGATGGCCAAAGGGAGACATTTAGGTAAAGTGCTCCTGTCAAAATTGTTCCATTCTAGATAGGCCATGGAGCAAGAGTCAGAAGTCAGGGATTTTGCCAAATTAGCTTTCAAATCCCTACTAGTTAAAGAGGATGCTTTGCTCATTTGAAACCATTTTACTATTCCTGACATTCAGACATTAATGGCTCCTTAAGTTAATCTAGCACTGTTGATTACAAAAAGCAGTATTTCTGCGGATTCCATAGATCAGATGCTTCGCAATATCCATTTTAAGATTGCGGATACTGTTCACCCCCTTTAATGTTAAATAAGGCACAGAAGGAATGATCCTCTCATAACCCTTCTTTACCAACTTCACTGGCTTCTAAGATGGCACTTTTGAAAGCTTCCAGCAGAGATGTGCTTATAATTGGCCAATCCTTCAATTATATTTCCAGTATTCGGAGAACCTGCTGGCTGCATGCTCCTGGGATGTATGATTTGGCTCCTAAGTCACACAAGTTCTTTTTTTAATTTGTAAGACTCTTTTCTATTTGGCCCCTGTTTTATACAAGAGGAAAAAGGCTGAGGTGATATTTCTTTGGATGGAGGGTCACTCCTACAGCGATTCAGGATCTTTCTGGGAAGTATCTCAGCAAACCCACTTTTGTCATCATGGGGAAAAGTCAAGAGCCCTTTGGTAGTAGCAGAGGAGCCCATACCAGAGGCGTCTCATCTGGAAAAAGATGACCCATGCAGTCAAGTAAGTGGCTTACCTCACATAGTATTTGGCATATCCAACACACCTTATACTTTTTACCAGGATAATGAAAGCTATAATGTCTCATGTGAGACAAAGCAGTTTTTTGTGCCTTTTTCTATCTAGATGAAATTCTGTTGTTGAATCCAGCGGTAGATGCTATTGTTCAGCAGAAAGATTACCTAATTCCCCTCTTGCAAGACCTGGGGTTTATAGTAAATCTACAGAAATCTGTCTTGATCCCATACTCAGAATATCCTTTATCTGGGATTTATGCTGAACACCATTAAAATGACCTTGGGTGTTCCTCGCGACAAATGGGAAAATAATTCTAGCTCATTGAGCTTTGGCTCTCTTAAAGACACAGATGGTCTCTGAGAGAGCTAGCAAAGAATATTGGGAGGTAGTTAACTTTTAACACCAGGTTATGATGCTTCCCCCTTGCTGTGAAGACAGTCAACTGTTTCTAGGAGACCAACTGAAACTGGGTGGCCCGTGGAAGTCAAGTGTGGTCATTCCCAAGAGAGTCAGAAAATAACTAAACGATATATTAGGCCAATTCCCCTTCCTCAACCCTTTTTAGAGGGGCATTTTGAGTTAACCCCTCAGACGCTTCAACCCAGCGATGGGGTGTGTTCTCTGCACAAGGTGCTATAAGAGGAATTTGGTCAAGAAAGGCTTCTTCAGATACATGTGCTAGAATTAAGAGCAATAAGATTAGCCCTCCAAGGCCTAGTTCTATTAGTTCTAGTTCTAATACACAATCTTCGAATTTGGGAAGTTCACATACCAGGAGAGACAAACAAGCTGGCTGATTCTCAGTCCTGCCAGCGTTTGTCCTTAGCCACATTCCAATTAAAGATGGTCTTATTCCAGCTAATAGAGAACAGATTGGACAATAAACAGATGTTTTTGCATCTCAGACCTAGGTTCAGACTCCCAAATTTGTAACCAGAATCTGGGCAAAAAGGGACTTGAAAAATGGATTCCAATGGACAGACATTACAGGTGTTTATGCTTTTCTATAGTGATGTACCGAACGGTTCGCCGGCGAACGGTTCCTGGCGAACATAGCATGTTCGCGTTCGCCACGGCGGGCGAACATATGCGCGGTTCGACCCGCCCCCTATTCGTCATCATTGAGTAAACTTTGACCCTGTACCTCACAGTCAGCAGACACATTCCAGCCAATTAGCAGCACAGCCTCCCTAGCAGACCCTCCCACCTACTGGACAGCATCCATTTTAGATTCATTCTCAAGCTGCATGCTTAGTAAGAGGAGGGAAAGTGTAGCTGCTGTTCATAAGATAGGGAAAAGCATAGCTAGGTTAGGGATAAGGGTATGCTTTTTTTTATTTTATTTTTCTATGTAATGTAAATGCACTTAGTTGTCTGCCACTGCTGCCAGCTTCTGTGTCAGGCTCACAGTGCCCATTTCCCCAGTCAGTGCCACCAATTACATCTGGTGTCACAATAGCTTGGATTTAAAAACAAAAAACTTTTTTCACTGTTATAGATTGAATAGCAGTCAGTTGTCTGCCACTGCTGCCAGCTTCTGTGTCAGGCTCACGGTGCATACTGTGCCCATTTCCCCAGTCAGTGCCACCAATTACATCTGGTGTCACAATAGCTTGGATTTAAAAACAAAAAACTTTTTTTACTGTTATAGATTGAATAGCAGTCAGTGTCCTTAAGCGGGTGTGTTACGCTAACAGTGGATACGCTGACAAGTGCCACCAATTAGATCTGGTGACACAAAGCTTGGATTTAAAAAAACAAAACACTTTTTTCACTGTTATAGATTGAATAGCAGTCAGTGTCCTTAAAGCGGGTGTGTTACGCTAACAGTGGATATGGTGACCAGTGCCACCACTCACTGGGGTCATAATAGCTTGCATTTAAAAACAAAAAACTTTTTTCACTGTTATAGATTGAATGGCAGTCAGTGTCCTTAAAGCGGGTGTGTTACGCTAACAGTGGATATGGTGCCCAGTGCCACCACTTATATCTGGTGTCACAATAGCTTGGATTTAAAAACAAAAAACTTTTTTCACTGTTATAGATTGAATAGCAGTTAGTTATCTTCAAGCGGGTGTCAGGCCTACAGCCTGTGCTCTGCACAACTGTGCCAGTGCACATTGCCACTCATATCTGGTCTCACAGTAGCTTGCACGCATAGTACCGCTAATCCCAACAAAAATGACAGGCAGAGGCAGGCCACCCCGCAGGGGCCATCGTGGTCGTGGTGCTGTGATTCCCTTTGGCCCTAGAATAATGCCCAGTTTTCAGAGGCCACGTACCCTGAACTTGAAAGTTCTGAGGACATAGTTGACTGGCTAACACAGGACACCCAATCTTCTACAGCCTCCGCTCAGAACCTTGACGCACCATCCTCCTCCAGCTTAGCTTCAGGCACCTCTCAAGATGCCACTCACCCGCCTGCCGCCACCACCAAAACTAGCACCACAGCCGCTTCAGTTGGTATGTCAGAGGAGTTATTCACACATCCGTTTGAAGAAATGAGTGATGCGCAACCATTATTGCCAGAGGATGTAGATAACAGGGATATGTCTCAGGCAGGCAGCATTACACATGGACGTACGGTGTGATGATGATGATGATGTTGTACCCGCTGCTGCTTCCTTTGCTGAGTTGTCAGATACAAGCGAAGCGGTTGATGATGACGATGCGTCCATGGATGTCACGTGGGTGCCCGCTCGTCAAGAAGAAGAACAGGGCGAAAGTTCAGATGGGGAGACAGGGAGGAGGAGGAGGCGAGTTGGAAGCAGGGG